TGGATGAGTGGTGCACACCTATAATCCCAGTGGCTTGGGAGGCTGAGGCTCAGGAGGCTGAGACAGGAGGAGTGCAAGTTCAAAGCCAGCTTCAGCAACAGTGAGGCGCTAAGCAACTCAGTGAGACCCTGTCTCTAAATAAAATACAAAAGAGGGGCTAGGGTTGTAGCTCAGTGGCAGAGCACTTTCCTTGCACGTGTGAGGCACTGGGTTCGATCCTCAGGACCGCATAAAAATAAACAAATAAAATAAAGGCATGCTGTCCATCTATAACTACAAAAACAAATTTTTTAAAGTACTAAATAAGGCTGGGGATGTGGCTCAGTGGTTGAGAGCCCCTGAGTTCAATCCCTAGCACCCCCCAAAAAGACCTGTAGGTTACATACAGATGTGAGCATGAACAGAGACACTTTTCCTCCCTGGGTGATACTGATATAATAAAAAATACATATGTGATCTCTGCCCTGATTCCAGACACAGAGCTCCTAAAACCCTTGAAATTTCCTGAGCAACAGGACTGCTAGGAGAATCTTTTGTTCTAACATTTGGTCTTTTCCTGACATAGAGCTCCTAAATCTCTCAGGAGTTCATAATGAGAGGAATATCTTTTGTTCTAATGAAGGAACCCTAATGTTTTACTTTTTTAAAGACAGGTTCTCCTTAAGTTGCTGAGGCTGGCCTCAAACTTGTGATCCTCCTGCCTTGGCCTCACAAGTCCTGGGATTACAGATGTGCACCACCACATCCAGCATGAAGGGACTCTTGCTGGGCTTCTGGGTAACCTCGGATGGGGGCTTGTTGCCTGGGTGTGACTAGAGGGCTGGAAATTCCAGCCCCACCTCCTGATCTACTGGGAGGAAAAAGGTGTTTAATGTTGAGCTGATCACCAATGGCCAGTGATATAATCAATCAAGCCTAATTAATGAAGCCTCCACACAAATCCAAAAGGACAGGTTTACAGAACTTCCAGGATGCTAAAGGTGCCTGGAGGCCATGGAAGCTCCTTGCCCCTGCCCACTTACCTTGCCTTATACCTCTTCATCCAGCTGGTCATCTGTATCCTTTTTAACATCCTTTATAATAAATGGGAAAATGTAAGTCAACTGTGTCTTGAGTTCTGGAAACCTCCTAACTAAAGCTGGTGGGAGGTAGTCATGGGTACTTCTGATTTATAGCTCATCAGCAGCACAGGTCACAACCTGAGGCTTGAGACTGGCATCTCAAGTTTTGTGAGACTGGGCCCTTAACCACAGAGGTGATGTCAGAATGGAGTTGAATTGGAGGACACTTGGCAGGCGTCCGCTGGAGACCTGCTCGGCATGTGGGAGAAGTCCCCGCGCAGTTTGGACAAAGACATGTGCTGGCTGGAGCACGACTGGCTTAGCTGCTTGTCCTGTGCAATGAAGCAACGAGGACTGCACCCTGACACCCCCCCGCAAGCAGGCCTGGGGGGGGGGGACAGTAGGAAGGGAGGATAGGGAAACCCAGTGGGAATTTTAAAGTGAGGAGGAGATCCCAGGTTCACAGATAAAAGCCCAGGCTCCAGAGAGCAGCAGAAGGCTCACCATGCTCTGCCTCCTGCCTCTGCTCTGTCCTTAAGAAACTATTCTCAGTGCCCCCCAATGCTGTGTGCTCGTGTCCATCCTTGGTACAGCCCGCCCTGTGCCCTCCTGATCTTCCCCACCTGAAAACACCCTTCAAAGGAGCTCAGCGGCATCCTTCTCTAGAGGACCTCGGGCTCACAAGTGTCTCTTTCCTTTCCTGGAGGCCAACTGCACATGGTGACCCAGGCACTTATATGCACACATTGTTTGCTACTAGACTCGTCTCCAGTAGGATAGACTTGTATGGTTTATCCTTGCCCCGCACCCATCTCACATTAAATACTTGATGAATAAAAGCAGGCCTTCCGAGATTTAAGAAAAAAATACCAAATGAGTGATACTGTCAGAACAAGAAACTTTCCAACATCACAGAAAACCAATATGGCAGATTTATCCCTGCCTCTGACAAGGACGTTAGATTCTAAAGAGAATGAGTATACCAAGGGTCTTATCTTTGGAGTGTGTGTTTGATACCCAATTGCTGCCCCCAGCCTTCAGGAGGGTATGAAAAGGGAAGTCATAAAGGAGGAGTGTGATTGATAATCACAGAACCATCTTTCCATAGCAAACACAATCGACCTTCTAAGAGATTGTCCAGTTGTGTAGAGACCACTGATGGCTGCCTGAGCCTTCAGCCCAGGGGTGTCCACAGCAGCCTCCTGCTGACAGAATGAATGACTCCTGTTTTTTCCTTTGCTTCTGCTCCATGAAGCCATTGAAATGACACTGGGTCTCTCCGCAGTTCTGCCAACCACTGAATCAGGGAAGGAGCTCCCCGCGTGTGAATTCAGCCATGTTCATTCAGATTGAATGCATTTCTATAATAAATGATAATTTAAAAACTTTTTTAAAGCATCATTGTTTCTATGTGGCATCTATAAGGACAGCATTATACCATTTGTGTTTTGGGGGACATAAGCACAAAATCAAGTGGCCTAGAAGGCTTAGCTCTTTCTTCCCAGCAGGCCCACTAAGCAACCTTTTGTTTCTGATGCACAAAGAAACAGACCTGTTTTCCTTGCCAAGTTCAAAGGTACTTTGGAACACAACTTATACTGTTTTTAAAGACAAACAGGAAAAAGGACTGAGGTGCTTTTAAAAATCCATTCTGAGGCACAGAGAATATCATCCATGGCCAGCATCCAGACCTACATATTTCCAATGTTAATATTTTAAAAATATTAGACTTTGGGGCTGAGGCTGTGGCTCAGTGGTAGAGTGCCTGCCTAGGATGTGTGAGGCCCTGGGCTCAATTCTCAGCACTGTATATAAATAAATAAAGGTCCATAAACAACTAATGAAATATTTTCAAAAAATTATAGACTTTTGTTCTGGTAACTTGAAAATTTGAAAAGAATTCACATATTAAAAGAGGACAGTATGTAATATTTTAAACTTGAAAATGCTTCATACCTACTATGAAGGATCTTTAGTTTTGGAAGATAATATTCCTATAATAATAAACTAGGACAAGAAAACATCTCAATCTCCACGGGGACAGATTTTTACATTAGCTTGAGCAGTGGGGAACAGAAAAAAACTGTCCTTTGCAAATGGTGTGAATTCACTGAGGAACACCAGATCCTTGATCTCTGTGGAAGTCAGCCTGTCCTGGGATTGCTTATAACAGTTGCAGGCAAAAGAGCAGAGCAGAGGAAACTCAGCCGTCCTGGGTCTCCCTCCTCATCCCAGAGCACCTGCTGTGCATTCTGGAGACAATGGCACCTAAGCCTGGGTCAGAGGTCAGTGTTGAGCCTCTGGTCTAACACGAGACCAGAGGCTCTAAGTCCTTTCCTTATGTCATGGACATTCTTAACCAGTTGTACAGAGAACAAGGTATAGACATCATCCAAAACGGTATTTTGAAAATGTTTTGGACCCCAACGTTCAGCAAGAAATGAATTAATACTGTGATTCAGCATACATGTGTGCAAAAATGTGTGTGTACTCATAAACAAGTTACACAAATCAATATTTACCATAACTATGCTCATATATTCTGATCATTCATCTTCTATTATTTAATATTTAAACTATTTCAATTTGTTTAAATGCTGGTTTTTATCCACTAAACTGATTTCGTAATCCATTACAGAGGCCTGACTTGTACTTTGAAACACAGCAATGTGCAGCATTCTCTTGTTATGGGACATGTAGTTATTTATGTTCCTTAAGTTAATCAACTTGGAACCACAAAATTCCAAGAAATAGGAACTTCAACAGAAAAACAAAAGAACAAAAATTTTTTTTTCTACCCTGGCACATATAAAATGCAAAGAGCTGAAAATCATTCAGAAGAAATAATGGATATATGAGTTGTAACCACTTGGAACACAGACAAATTGAGGCAAAGTTTGAAGAGAGTTCAAATAAGAATGAGGCATTCACTAGGTGCCTTCCAGCATGTACAGAGGCAGAGGAAGCTTCAGTATCAATGCTGGGGATACAATTTCATCTTCCTTTGGCTAAACAAAATAATTTTAATAGTCTCAATTAAATTTCAAATTCCATTTTCTCCTATCAGATGAACAAAGTAAATCAGCATTTACTTTAAAAACTGGAGGATTGTCAAGCATGGTGACATGTGCCTATTAATCAATCCCAGCAACTTGGGAGGCTGAGGCAGAAGGATCACAAGTTCAAGGCCAGCCTTAGCAACTTAGTGAGACTCCTAACAAATTAGTGAGACTCTGTCTCAAAATGAAAAATGAAAAGGGATGGGGGTGTGGTACAGTGGCAAAGCACCTCTGGGTTCAATCCCCAAAACAAAAAATAAAAATAAAAACTGGAGAACTGACTTTAGTCACATTCAAAGCAGATAACTCTAGTTAGAAAAAGGTTAAAACCATGTTTATAGCAGCACAAATACAACAGCTAAGTCATGGAACCAGCCTAGGTGTCCATCAACAGATGAATGGATAAGTATCTATACACATACACAATAGAGTTTAATCCAGCCATAAAGAAGAATGAAATTATGTCATTTGCAGGAGAAAGGAACTGGAGGATATTGTGTTGAAGAAGCCAGATGCAGAAAGTCAAGTGTTCTATGTATTCTTTCACATGTGGAAGCAGGAAAGAAAAAAGGAAAAAAGGATCTCATGAAAATGGAAGAAAGATTAGCAAGAGAGAGGAAGGGGACCAATGGGGAGGGAGGAGGGGAGGCAAGGGAAGTGCTGGGGATTGGAACTGAGGGAACCTGTGGTGAGCAGGTACAAACCTGCCACAATGGAACCCATTCTGCTGTATAGTTGTTAGCACAAATATAAAAATTTTTAAAGTAGGGTACAAATGACTCAGTGATGTATAACTTTCTTTTTTTTCCCCTTCAAAAAATTACTAGGATTGTATTCGTCAAGGGAAAGCAGTTGAAGGAGAAATGAAAACAAATACATCTTAACAATCCTTAAGTACAGCATATATTTATAATTTCAGTATTATACAGAAGGCCACTATCCATCTGTTCATTTAAATGTATCAATTTCTAAAGTTACAGTTCTCATAGGCCCACTTGTCAATTAAATTAATGTCCACCATCCTTTGACTCAGAGACTGTCACAGCTGACTTGGTCAGGAGAGCCCCACTTGTGGTTCAGGGCTAAGACCCTGGGGCCGGTGCTCTTCCCCATGGGAACTTCCATCGTAGTAGCTCAGCTCTGTGCACCTGCCCTCCCCCTCTCCAGTGATGTCCAGGCCAGGGCAGCCAAAGAGTAGGAAAGGCTCATGAGCAGCTGCTACTGCGGCCGTCTGTGAGGGCAACACACTACCACCTCCTGGGTTCTGGAGCTTCCCTCCTGGCAGACAGCGTTTTACCAGCATTGACGGGGTCCTCTGGGATTACAACACCCACCATCTGTAGGTTCAGAAAGTGCTTTCAAGCAGGCAGTGACACCCACACCCGGTGGGACACACCTCCTGAGTCCGAAACCACTCCATCATGTGGCTAGTGTGGCCACCGTGACCGCAGGTCAGGCAGAAATTGGATGATCCCCGCACGGCCACGTGGCAGATGGCACACTGGAACGTGAAGCCTTTACAGATGGCACACTGTGTGCCCCGGACCTCGCTCCGGCAGTGGCTGCAGTACACGCCAAACTCTGGAAATGGGCGAAGGTGACAAAACAAGAGGCACAGTGAGTTTGGTTTTGAAAAAAGAAACAGCTCTGTCACCTCCCTAAGAAAACAGAAGCCTCTGAATGGAGACCCTTCCTCTTCACACCACCACCTCTGCAAATCTCCCAGGGCTACACATCCTTTCCTAACCTCTGACAATGGGCACAGTTTTTATGACAGAATTACTTATTAAGGAGTAAATAAAACTTCAAAACAATGGCTGTCACACAAACTTCCTTTTCATGAAAAAATACATAAATTCAATAATAACTTGACTTTCTTATCAGACTATACATGGATAAATCACATTTATAGACCAGGTCATACTTCAAATGTCACATTTAAATTCAAATCTTATTTAATTGGCTATGAATAAGTCATTATTTAGAGGAGAAACATGCTTCATATATGGACATAAAGTCTACAAATCTTCCCAGAAAACTACTTTTTGGCCTGATGTAAGTAGAGATGTCGTGTCCTGACAGGCCACTGACACACGTGGACACCACAGGTTGAGGCTATTACTACTGTAGTGTAAGTTCTGCAGCTGAAACCTGGGAGAGGTGAAAGGGATCGTTCTTGATTCCTGAGAGACAAACTATTAAGGACAATAAAAATACTTGTGGTGCACAGAACAATTATATTATGATCCCAGGGCTTTATGAAACCTCCAGGCAGAAGCTAATTCCAAGACCTAAGTGGAAGAAGGCTCTAGTGTGTTAACCTCACAACAAGGAGAGTTTTGTATATTAACCAAATCGCCTACACACAAATGTAAGTAGAACCAGCCAAATAAACAAGCCGTTGAATTAATAAATTGAAGCAGGAAGGAATCATCCCAAGGAGAGGCCGTGAGGACAAAGCACTTGCTTTGCTCTGCCACTGTTACGACCAAGCACTGCATATCACATGGGAAAAAAGCAAAAAAACAAAAATCATAAAGAAATACCCTGGCTAGCATTAGCCTCCCCAGTACAGGAGGCCTAGAGACCTGTCATAAATATCTAACCTCCTAAATGGAAACGACTTTATCATCCCTCGAATTTGCTATGCTGATGCCCATAGATCTGGGATCTTGCAGATGAGAGAAGCTGAGAGGAGCCTGCTGGTATCCCTATAAAGACAATGCCTGTGCTTTGGGGGCCTGCTGGTTTTTCTTTCAAAACCTTCTGCGTCCTATACCTGGGCAGCCAATTCCCCTAAAGTTGTAAAATTTTGCAGATCAAAGCACTTCTCGATTGGTTTTGTCTGCGATCTTCTACAATTCTTCCACCTCCTTTAAAAAATCTTGTGACACTGTTTGTATTGGTACTAGGATATATTATGAACCTTGCTTAGGTGGTTCCTGGGTTTATGTTTCAGACTCTGATTGGATTATAGACTTCTTGCCCCCACTCACCAAACATCTATTCCTTCGTACATCCCACAGAATTGTATTAGTCAATAAGGGTTTAGCTGATTGATGCACTGACACATCAGTTCCATATCTCTGTGATTCATGTTTTCCTAAAAACTAATTTTAAAAGACAAATTGCTCTGAGCTATCATTAATCTCTTTCTAGTATACTTTCCTGCTATTAGACACTATGAAAAAATGTATTGCTCAAATAGCATTTCATGCCTATATTTCTTCAAGTACGTATACTGAAATAAATCATACTAAAATAATTCTTATTATTTACTGTTTAAATCTATGTATTGCCTGTTTTTTTTTTTTTATTAAAACTATTGGCACAATTTAAAGAGTCAAATAGTTCTATGCATCTTGGTCCAAAACCCAGCATTTCCTGTTACCCGCACCCCTTTTGAACTCATCTGACTGCTTCATTTCTTTTTCCCTCCTTATCTCTAAACAACATGTTTATAAGGCTATTTCTTAAGTGTCACATGTAGGCACTGCCCACTGGCTGTCCACAGTGGAAACACTCCCCCAGTCTCCCAACGACAGGCACACCACTTGCTCGCACTTCCCCGCGCAGTTCTCCCCTGGCTGGATCACGTTCTGCTTGTGCATCATTTACCCATGCAAACATCATTCAAGTCATGTACTATGACACTTTCCCTTTCTTGAACATTTTGTTTTTCCCAGAGTTGGTGACTGTCTCACTTTTTCATTTGTTTAGTTTGCTATGTACTTATTAATAATTCATCTCTGAACTCTCCTTCAAATAACTGATCTTCTATAAATACACTGAACACTGAGCTATACTAGATAATTTCTTCAATTTTCTCTTGCTGGAGCCAGGACTCCTGACTGGTTTATGCCCCTGTCTGTATGGTAAGCACCCTCCATCAGCACTCCAGCTTCCTTATTTATGGGAATGAATCTAGTCCTCCCTAGACAGGCTCAGGCTGACTTTTATACATGATTGACAACTGATTAGAAATCATTCCCTTGAGAATTCTGGAGGCATTCCTGCATTTTTATCTTGTATCCAGAGATGTGATGAGGTATGATGCCATTTATATTCCTTACCCTTTGTATGTGACCTCGTTGTTTTTCTTTCTAGAAGTTTCCAGGGCATCTTCTGTATCCCCCATCTTTCTTTGGCCATTATGCTAGGTACCTGACATGGAGCTACTACTAACTCACCTGATTCCCAGATCCCAAATTTTATTGCTAACATTACTTCTCCTTGCAAAGGTATACCTTTTCAGAAAAACTGTATACAGACAGTAATGGTAGGGTCTGGAGAGAGAGGAAATCAATGTTGTGTCCAGTCACTCTCTTCAGGAGTCTTCCATTTCTTCCTCTTAGAAAAAACCTCTTTGCTTAGGTTCTTTCACATCATTGCCCATCTTTTCCTCAAAACTCACTGATGTCTCACTCTGTCTCCACCTCTGGTTCTTCCTCCAGGGCCCAGCTCCCAGGGTGGGCAGGCTCTTATCTCTGCTCCCCACACCCTCCCTTCCCATGCCCACCCAGCTCCTAGGTAAACACGCCCATTTTCACAGCTCAAATACTGTCCACATGCTGGAGATCCCCAAATTCCTAGCTCTAGCCCCCAAATCTCCTGAGCACCAGACTCACATCTAACCTCCCACCAGACTCCTCCCATCCCAAATTTCACACACATCTCTAACTATCTCAAACTAAGTTCACAATTTTTTTTCCTGTATTTTTCACCTGAGGAAAACAACACTGTCACCTACTTAGTTGCTCAAGCTGGAAATCCAGGAATCACCCAAACTTTGTCTCTCTTCCTTAATCCCATAACCAAATTATTAGCCAGTCATGTTGAGCCTAACTCTGAAATATATATATGTATTTTTGTGTGTGGGTGGTGCTGAGTGCATGCAAAGCAAGCACTCTACCAACTGAGCTATATCCCCAGCCCTAAAATATATATATATATATATATATATATATATATATATATATATATATTTTTTTTTTTTTTTAGAGAGAGAGAGAGAGAGAGAGAGAGAGAGAGAACTTTTAATATTTATTTTTTAGTTTTCGGTGGACACAACATCTTTGTTTGTATGTGGTACTAAGAATCGAACCCGGGCCGCACGCATGCCAGGCGAGCGCGCTACCGCTTGAGCCACATCCCCAGCCCCCTAAAATATATTTTTAATCCCTCTTTCTCTCTGTTGTGACACCACACTCAGACTAGGCCACAGAGCTCTTGGATCACAACAACGCCCAAATGGTCTTCCTATTCCTACTCGGCCCTCCTCTAGTCCTCCTCTAACAGTCAAGGTGATCCTCTTAAAACGTAAACCAGAGCATGTCACTTCCTTCTTAATGCCCTCTGAAGCTCACCACTGGACTCAGAATACAACCTAAATCCTTTACCACATCATACAAGTCCATGCTGGCTATGGCCCTAATAATCCCACAATCTTAATTTTTAAAATTCTTTCTATGTTATTTAATTTTTTTATCAATATGTTTTTAATTGACACAAAGAAACTCTGTAATGTGGCATTTCAATATATGTACACAGTGGGCTATGATCCCTTCAGGGGAGAGCCATCTCCATCGCTTCAGACTCACATCATTTCTGTGTCAGAAACCTATAGGATCCTCTCTTAGCTATTTTGAAATATTCAACAGTTACCTTACTGAGCTACAGAATATGAAAAGTTATTCCGCCTATCCAACCATACCCCTGCACCCTAATTTTGTATCACTCTTCTCACTTATGGGTTCTGGCCACACCAGCCTCCCTTCACTTGTTCAAAAATGACAAGTCATGTCCTTATGGGCTGCTCCTCTGTATGGGACGCCGCTCTTCCCACTGACCTTCCCAGACAGCCCCTTGGTCAGCCTTCAGGCCTTGGCTCCTTGGAGAAGCCCTTCCTACTCGCCTCGACTCATCTCTTAGGATTCACCTTCCGGCTCTCCCTGCCCCAACATCATTTTTGTTTGCTCATTACTATTTGTCACAATTTGTGATTATTTAATTTTTCTCCTACCAGCTGTGAGTTCCATAAGGGAGAAAAAGACTGCGTGAGCACCAAGTGCTGGGCCTTCCGGGGGCTTGAAGGGGCTCCACATGCGTTAGTTAAACAAGTGAGCGAGCACCCCACTTCCAATCCATTCTGAGTACTGGATCTGAGACTACCTCTTTACAATTGAAAATGAATCTTGTTATCAAATGCAAGGGTTTTCAGGAGCTTAGTTAAGACTCAACATGCTTCTGAAATTCGGCCTATAAATGAGAAGGGAAGACTTCACCCCAAGTCTGAGGTTGTGGACAAATTAAATGATAGGATCTTCGAAAGGTGATAGGAAAGAAAAGAAATTCACACTCACCAATCCCTTTGTGGGGATCAGGGGGACAGGACACAAACTTGAGTACTTCTGCTCGCTTCTCTCTTAGCCCCCAACGGTAGAGGATTTCTCCATAGCATTTCTTAAAGTCGTCAAACTGCTGGGTGTTAGCAGGGTCCAAAAGCCTGGATAAAATTCAAGATTCCCTGTCAGTTCCAGAAAACATAAGCTTGATACCAAATGGCATTTAATATATCTTTCTTCAAGCAAGAGTCCTGATCTGGGAGAGCTGAGTTCTGGATCTGCGTTCCTCCCTGGGAAGGCTGTTACCTTTTATTTTTATCATGTTGGTCCCGTTCCCGCTCTCGAGGATCACTGTAGGTCAGACTCCCGAAGCGGATTTCTTCTGGTGAGGACTCTCCCCAAGGCGAAGATAAATGCTCTGCGTCTCTTCCCGCTGAAGAAAAGGAAAGAAGAAGGGAAGACGCAATCAGTGAAGACCTGCAGACACCTGAAAACTCTCAAGCCACAGTGTCCTCAACTGAGTCCCTGGTAGAAAAATAAGCTAAGCTGAAGACTTTGAGAAATATTTCTAACTCTTTGTCCAGGTTTTTACTACTAAGGGGACCTGATCATTAAGTGCACTCAATAATTAGGGAAATTATAGTATACTGACACAGAATGTAATGCAGTGATTATTTATAAAGATTTGTTAAATGACATATGAGAAAATACTCTTGATAAAATTAAAAGCCGAACGCAATCTAGCATATGTAGAATAACCACCCACACACGTACACATACTGGAAGAAAATGTTCTGCAATGTTAATGGATGTTATTTCCTAGGTAAGGGAAATCAATAATTACAATTTTTTTCTCTAATATTTTTTGTCTGTGTTTCTTCCCTGGGCATACTTTTATTTATTTGTTTTGGCTTTATTTTATTTTTTTAAAGATTGGGTCTTGCTACCTTGCCCAGGCTGACCTAGAATTCCTGAGATCGAGCAATCCTCTAGCCTTAAGCCTCCCGAGTAGCTGGGACTACAGGATCATGCCATCCTGCCTGGATCCTGCACTACTTTTATAATCAAGAAAATTAAGATTATCTTTAAAAAGAAATTTTAAAAATCCTGGAAAACACAGAGACACCCACTCATGAAACAGACCCCCCCGACCAGCTGGAGTCAGGCCCAGCTTTATTTCTCTACACTGAAAGCAGTCTTGGGAAGAGGTGGGTGATAGGAAGTGGCAGATGATCCTGGAAAGGGCCATGTGAAGGAGAAAGGAGAAAAGCTGGGTTTGTGGGGAAGAGCAGAAGTACCAAAGCCAGTTTATCAAGGCTGTGAGATGGAACACAAGACCTTTCAAGATACAAGGCCAGGCCTTGCTGGAACAGCATCCCTCCCACACCAAAGTGAGAGAACTGAGAACCAAAAACATGGGGAGCAACATGCACTAACTGAAGATTCACGTGGACGACAGCTTCTAGAGTACTGAGAACCCAGCACGGCCTGGGTCCTTCCACACCAACCTATGTTCCAGCCTCCGGTGCTGAGCCCTGGGTCCGACATACTGGAGCAGGAACCCGAGGAGGTGAAGCTGGGCTACAGATGGGAGGAGGAACACACTGGCATCAGAACACTGGTCCACACCACAGTTCACATCAAGGAAAAATCAGACACGAGCCAGAGAACCACAACTTACATATCGACTGTGGGACACCATGAGATTAGAAGACCGGTTAGGAAAAGGCCCAAAGGGGTTCGGGATGCCCTGAGGCCGAGATTGGGCTTCGAACACACTGCAGAGCATTGCCAAGGTCTGCACGTCCCGGAGTCGGCAATAATGAGCCAGCCTGGAAAAGTAGGTGCCAGGAAGGAAAACAAGTCAAGCAGGGGATGAGGAAGGACATCTCACAGTCTCTGCCATGGGTAGGTGGAAGGTTCTCCTCGTTGCCTCAAACCCTGTCAGGAACTGGGGCCTTCTGCAGGCTCTGACCTGCTTTGAATCTGGCTACACTTGAGTTGGAATAAAAGGTATCAAAGTCTTACGAAGGGCCTAGATCCCCACCCTGAGAGTTCCTGACTGGCAGTGAGGCTAGAGCCCCAACACAGTGCAGCTTCTCCCCAAGAACCAAGTGGGCTCACCTCACACCTGAGTGAGGAGGAGTCTGTGCCTCCTCAGGCTTCCCAACTCTGAGGAGGAATCACACTGCTTTGGGGGGCACTTCCCATATTCCTCATTCATATAGTGTGAAGCTACAGAAGTGCCCAGAAACACCCTACTGCCATAGTATGGTAGAAAGGCCACTGACTCTGGAGATGGAATTGTGGCCAGGAGCTATTAAATAAGAATGACAAGGAATAAATATTTTTACCTTTTAGGTATTCCTGTTCCCTTTGTCTTTTGGGACTACCCTACCCTAGAATGTGAGCTAGTGATCAGAGGGACTTTGCCCCTGGGATGAAATAATACACCTTCCTAGCACTCAGTTTTGAACATTTTTAATTGTTTTTTAGTATCTTTCAGAAGGCTTACCTCAAGTAAGTAGAACAAATGTTACCATCCCTGTATGGATGATAAGGCAGTGGGAGCACACGAGTAGGTGTCCCAGGTCTGGCCTCAACAGGTAAATAAAGCAAACCTCAAACTGCAGAAGTGGAGTTTCCTTGCCTGGGCCTGGGCCTCAACATTATGGACATTCAAGTCATTTTACTCCGTGGTAAATTATTTTATATCTTATAATGCTAGCTTGCCATATATCAGTGTAATAAATTAAACACAAATTCAATGTTTCTATGTGTTGCCCAACAGTGTGAAAGCACCCAGTGTTGGGAAAATAAATACAGACACACCACTCTCTTATCTCTTCCCTGGGGCCAGACCCCATAGCATCTAAGAAGAAATTCATCTCCAGATCTGGGTTCACACAGATGTGATTCATAGACTAAAGCACGTGTCTTCAGGTGTCTCTAATCCTTGTTATAAGTGACAAATACTATATAGTACCTTTTGCTGTAAGAAATTAATTCTGTACAGAGGTAATTTCAGCACTAAAAGGAAAGATCCTACTTCTTCCTCTCATTTCTTAGGCCTCTGAAACTTTCTTTTTTTGTTTGTTTGTTTTGTTTTTTGGTTGAACCCAGGGCCTTGGGCTTGAGAGACAAGCACTCTACCAACTGAGCTATATCCCCAGCCCTGCAACTTTCCCTGAGGCAATAACATTTAATGTGTTTACAGACCAAAAATCGACATCATTCATTTTTCTCACTTTTAGCTCTCAAAACCTACAGGGACTCCAGTAGCTGTCGCCCAAATGGATGCCGAGCCCAGGGTGTTTCCAAATCTGGGTCAGACTTCGGACCAAGGCAAAGATCTGTAGCTACTGTAGCCAGCGACCACACCTGGAGAGATGAAAGAGAGACACTCAGACTGATGAGGACAGGAACAGAACCATGAAGGAACCCCACCTCCCCTCCATCTACAACCTAAAACCCTGCTATGGAGCGCATCGAAAGCTGGGAGCTTGCTCAAATGCAGCAGGTCCCGCTCATACTGACCAAATCAGAATCTGCATTTTATAAGATCCTCAGAGGACCTGTATGCACTATAAAGTTTGAGAAACACTAGCCTTAAAACATCATTAAAGGGCTGGGAATGTAGCTCAGTGGGAGAGTGCTTGCCTAGAACGTGCAAGGCCCTGGGTTTGATCCCTGGCACTGGGTTTGATCCCAACCCTGGGGCGGCAGCGGTGGGGAAGAGTTCATTAAATGAATTTCAGAGAAATGACTGTAATAATTTTAAGGTGTTATCTATTTAACACTAACTCATGAATTTCTGCTTTTTGAGAGTATTCTGAATCATGTTGAAGATCAGTCTTTTACCCAAATAATGTAACTTTTTTTGCTTTCATTATGAAAGTTTTAGTATACCCTCTGAAGCTAAAGAAGAACAGGTTGAGGCTAAATAGACCTGGCTTTCTTTTTGTTGACACTAAATCTGAGGAAGACCTCCAATCCTGATATCTCATGGGGCTCGGAATCATCAGCAGAAACTAGTGTCCACTCAGTGTTTATTAAATCCAAGAAATGTGCTAAACACACTATGTTACAAACAAGCCCCCATCCCCTGATACTTGTATCAAATACTACTTTTAGAGAATTTTTTTCAGTAGTGATACATGACTGCAGCCCACTAATTGGAAAGCATTATTCTAGACTGAAAGAAGCTAAAAAAGGAGAAGATATTAACTTTGAATCAAGGAGTTTATAATCTAAGAAGAAAGAATAGGCAAATAAAAATGCTGAAAAACAGAAACATCAGACGTACAAAATCAAAATTATGTGGCACCAACACACTTGAAAATGACATACAAGTGTTGTGGAAGAGAGAAAACTTGAAGTTTACATTCATGTCTGAAATTAAGGACCCTCTTGAATGGCTGACTTGTTAGGGTGGGAAAGCTTTTCTACCCTGGCTGACAGTTTAGCCACTTTACTTCCTCACTTTAAATTATCATTTCTTCAACAGAAAGAGTGACACTTGCATTCATTTCTGCAGTTTTTGTTAAAACAGTAAACACATCATTTTTAACATGGGCATAAGGAACAATGAAAATTCTTCAGGCTTTCTCACTGATGTCATTCCTCTGTCCCTTTGAATCATACCAAGTCACAAATGATGACAATGATAATTATAAGAATAGCAGCAGTGACTGTACCACACAGTGGACCTTTTCTATCTGCCCATACAGTTATGAGACTTTACAGTTATTACATCATTTAGGTCTCACAGTGGCTTCTGGAGCACTGCTCCATTTTACAGTTGGGGAACTTGAGGTTTGGAGAAATTCGGTGCCTGGCCCGAATGCTGCAGCCCCAGGTTTGCCTGAAGACACGGTCCTCCCCAAACATTTGGACTGCCTGCTCTATCAGGTCAATTCTGCCTATAAATTATTAAACACTTAAAAACAACAACAAAAAAAAAAACCCACACCTCTTTAAGAAGTAATTTTTCCTTAGAGGATGTTTTTTTCAGAACATGAACTTGGTCTGCCTTAATACTGCATTCACCACTCTAATCTTCTCACCAACCACTTAAGGAAATTATTCTCAGGCTTCTCATTTTACAAACATCTGAAAGGCCTTAGTGTGAGGTAACTTGCCTAGAGTTCCTCTGCTAGAAGGAGGTGAACCAGGCCTCCCGTGATAAATCCCACACTGCTTCTTCTAAAAATAAATAGACTTCTATAAATAAAAAAAATTCTTCTATAAAAAAATTTCTCATGCTGACTTCTTGCTGTGTACAAAATCTAGGTGTCTGGGGCCTTAGAGAAATAGGGTGTGATGGTGCACACCTGTAATCCCAGCAGCTCAGGAGGCTGAGGTAGGAGGATTCCAAGTTCGAGGCCAACCTTGGTAACTTTGAGACCCTGTCTCAAAATAAAAATAAAAAGGTCTGGGGATATGGCTCAGTAGTAGAAGAGCACCCCTGGGTTCAATCCCCAGTACAAAACAAACAAACAAACAAAAAAAGAATTCATGACTACATTTCTCTTATAAGGGTTTCAGGCAAAAACTTGACAGTATTTATTAGAAAATAAATGGAAATCTTAGGGATTTTTTTTTTAAATCAGATAAAAGCCAAGGAAAAGTCTGGTGTTGATTTGTTAGGAGGATTACAAGAAAAATACCAAGCTAATAGGACAGTCTCTAATAATTTCCATTGTTCAATCTAATCCTCAGACTAAAGAATAAGGATGCAAGAGAGACAGAAAGTAGATTAGTGTTTGACTAGGGCTGGGGACAAGACAGGATTGAGAGGTGACAGCTCAGGGCATGGGGTTTCCTTTTGGGATAATGAAAATTTTCTAAAACTGCTTGCGGTGATGGTTGCACAACTTTGAATACACTGAAAACCACCGAATGGTAGGTTTTAACTGGGTAAATTGCATGTTATGTGGACCACATTATAATACAGCTGTTTAAAAAACAATATAGACACTGTGCTTGGTGGTGCACGCCTGTATCCCAGTGACTCAGGAGGCTGAGGCAAGAGGATTGCAAGTTTGAGACCAGTCTCAGCAACTTAGTGAGACCCTGTGTTAAAATAAAAAGTAAAAAGTACTGGGGATGTAGTTCAGTGTTAAAGAGCCCCTGGGTTCAATCTCCAACATCCACCTACCCCCAGGCAAAAACAAACAACAATAACAACAAATATATATATATATACACACACACACACACACATATATGCTTGTGTGTGTGTGTGTGTGTGTATGGAGCAGCTTGCTTTAGTATACTGATGTGTTCCTGCAAAGATGAAGGAAATTTAAATTTTTTTTAAGATTAAATCATTTTTTAAAACTCAAAATCTATACCTAAAGGAATGCTTTGGTAAACTTTTATGAATGAAGCTTTTTCCCCCTAGTGCTGGGGTTTGACTCCAAGCCCTCATGCATGCTAGGCCAGTGCTCTACCACTCAGCTACTTGGGAAACTAAGGCAGGAGGATCACAAGTTTGAGGCTAGCTTGTGCAACTGAGCAAGACCCTCTCCCAAAATAATATTAAAAAGGGCTGGAGATGCAGTTCAGTATGCAAGGGTTCAATCGCCAAAACCAAAAGAGAAAAAGAAAAACAAAGAGGGAAAAGAAATAAGAATTGAAAGTGCAAATGGCAAAAATTACATACTCAAACTAAGTATGCAATGATTACTGTGGTACTGGAAGAGAAAAGAGATGTAGTTTAAAGAAAGAAAATCAGACTGGCCAAGGCAGGAGGATCCTAAATTCAAGACCAAAATGGGCAACTCAACAGGCAACTTGGCAAGATCCTCTCTCAAAAAATAAAAAGGGCTGGGGATGTAGCTCAGTGGTAGAGTACCTCTGGATTCAATCCCAGTATCAAAAAAAAAAAAAAAAAAATCAGTAAATTCTTTAGGATTTTTTCAACTACTCATTGGTAAGAATGATGACTATAGTCAATGATCTGGGGTTTTCTGATCTGAGACTGGACTCAAACTTGCAATCCTCTTGCCTCAGCCTCCTGAGTTACTAGGATTACAGGTGTGCACCACCAAGCACAGTGTCTATATTGTTTTTTAAACAGCTGTATTATAATGTGGTCCACATAACATGCAATTTACCCAGTTAAAACCTACCATTCGGTGGTTTTCAGTGTATTCAAAGTTGTGCAACCATCACCACAAGCAGTTTGAGAAAATTTTCATTACCCTAAAAGGAAACCCCATGCCCTCAGCTGTCACCTCTCAATCCCTTCTTGTCCCCAGCCCCTAGTCAATGATCTGGGGATTTTGCTATAGATTAGCAAAGACAACAAAACAAAACAAAAAAATTGCAAAACAGGAAGCAAAAATGTTGCTAACCCATGTGACAACAACTTGGTCATAAAGGGAAATCCCAAGCTGCACCAACAGGGAGGCATGTACCTGGACAAGATCCTTTCTTCCAACAAGCATGGCTGAAGCAGCGTTCTTCTGACATGTTTCCTGAATATCATTCACATTCAATCTGAAATTTTTAAAAAAGAATAAAAAAGTGTCCTTCAGTCTAAGTTCCTAAGTCAATTCCTTCTGGTTTAACAGCCTAGCAACTGCCTCTTTGCTGTTCACTCAAAATGTTTTTCACTGTGTTGGCCTCAAGCTGCCTGCTATCTGACACTAGGATTAATGAGAGCTGATGTTAAGAGGGCTATGGGTTCCGGGGAAGGTGAATTCCTCACTGTTTTGAGTCAGGACAGGAAGCCAAAGTCAAATGCTAATTTGCCAACCAGTTTTTATGTGAAGTTTCCAAGATTTAAAGGATTTAAATATATGCAACACTGTGAACCAACAAAGAGCCTTGGGCTGTTAAAATAATACAAAATAAACACTTCTTGTTATGTGTTCAAGTTCAGGAAGAAGCAGGAGAACCACAGGCTAGCAAACATGCTGGTCACTCACCTCCCACTCCCCTTCAACCAAGGCGGTGCCTTTGATTTGTTTTATATATTGGATATGAGAGCCAATTCTAAGATTCCTGTCCACTGCCATACATATCCTCCCTATGAAAGTGAATGGCACCAGTGAATATTGATGGGATGTTGCTCCTGTGATTACATTATTAAGCACTGGACTTTGAGTTTGTCAAAAGGCAGACTATCCTAGGTAGGCCTTACTTAATCATCTGGGCCCTTAGAAGGGTCTATGAGCCACTGTTATTGGTCTGAAGAAGATGAAATTCATATAAGCGTTCTATAGCTGCAAGGATCTGAATTCTGTTAACAACTGAATAAGCTTAGAATAGGACCCAAGGCTTAGGAAGAGAACACCACCTAGCCAGTGTAATGATTTCAGCCATGTGAGACCCTGGGCGAGGGTCCAGTGAAGCTATGTACAGACGGACATTGCAAGGTATGCTGTCTGAAGCTGCTAAGTCTGTAGTAATTTGTTACAAAACAAGAGAAAGCTAACACACTGAACTTCTACTAAAACTGCTTTTGAAGAAAAGCTTGCAACACTTACAAAAAAGGTTTTTGGATCCTGACTAAGCAATAAGGGCAGCTCACCTGAACTCTTGAACTTACATGTACAGTTCTCCCAGTGATTTATGAACAGGAAGGAGGCATGAAACATCCTGGATGATGACTTTCCCGGCAGCCTTGATGGGTCGATTGCCAGAGTCTGATCCCTCGCGCTTACTTTTCCACCTCCTTGATTTCTGGGGGAGACGACAAGATAGAACTAATGAGGACTTTGAAGAGTGGAAACCTAGAGTTGCAGAGCATATCATATTTGGGTCATTGGTAATTTGCAGAAACTTTAAATTATATCATGCCCACAATTACATGAATCAGCATCTGTAGGAAATAAAAGGATGACAAAGGGACTGACCTCGTGATCCAAAATCCTAACAGGAAAATAGGCACCAAATGCAGGACTATTTACATTCTGCAGGTGCTCAAAACCAGATACCAGGAAGCCAGAATTAATTAATTAATTAAAACAGCAGGTAAATAAGTTAGTAAAGGCCCCAAAAATGTGGGAGAAGAACAAATTTTAAGATTGTTAAAGTACTAGGTTCAAAGTTCTTGCCTGAAACTAATCAAAGGTGTAGGGGTGTGTGTGTGTGTGTGTGTGTGTGTGTGTGTGTTTCTTCTTCTCAGACAGGTTCAACAGGGTTTGTTGAAATTTTAATTTAAGAAAATTTTTTAAAAAGAAATTTTAATTTAGACATATCAGTGCAGATTCTGCAAACCTTAATCTATGAAGGAAGACAGAAATTTGGCAGCTCAGGAATTTTTCTAGCAACTTAAATAATTTCTAAAACTGATCATTTTAGGAAGCCAAAAATGAGTCAGGGGATTATATAATGGACATGAGAAATCATGAGCAAGGGTCCCAATTCCCCAGAGCCATTCCTGTGTGTGTGAAATGGGAAATGTCCTGGAAATCCAGAATTATTAGAGTGCAGCTCCATCTGGTATCTTCAAAATGACAACCAGCCACAGGAGCAGTAATCTATTTTATTTCCAGAAGTTCAAAAGAGATCACCAAAGTGGTTCAAAACTAAGGAATGGAGAGACATACTTATTAACAAAGAAGGGGAAAGGAACAAAGAATAGGGCTTGACATTTGGATTTAGAAAACCACAATTAACTGGTCTTATTACCACATGTACTGGTTCAATATGACCCTGGGCAAGTGAATTATCTACTGTGGATTTAGTCTCATGCATTTACTCTTTGCTCTCTGATAACTTGAGGCCAGTGATGGACTCTGCTGTCAATCTCATGAGGTCAATAAGGATACAATGTAAAGATATGGGTGCAAACCAAAAAATGCAACCTAAAAATATATAATTAATATGAATATATAAACTCAGGAATCTAAATTAGATCATTATTTGATTACTCACAAATTCATTCTTTGCAAGTGATTTTTTGGCCGGGGCCGGGGTGGGGGTGGGGGAGTACTGGGGATTAAACTAAGGGGTGCTTACCCACTGAGCCACATCCCCAGCCCTATTTTGTATTTTATTTAGAGACAGGGTCTCACTAAGTTAGTGCCTCACTGTTGCTGAGGCTGGCTGTGAACTGGCGATCCTCCTGTCCCAAGCCTCCCAAGCCGCTGGGATTATAGGCATGCGCCACCATGCCTGGCTGCAAGTGATTTTTATACAATCACTTATTCATGAATTAGTCTTGGATTAAATCCAGGAATTCTGACCACTGATGTCCCATCTAATCCAAAGGTGCCAAGTGCATATAACTTCCTAAAGGATTAATACATGTCTTGGAACATATTAAATGCAGGACACCTGGACTTAGTTTCAGGCAGGCACACCATAATGTAGTGCATATGCTTCACTATCAGATTGGAAGCTTAACCCATCTGAGTTTAAGAAACTCTGTTACTATTTACTACTTAACAAGTCATTATTCTTCACCACAAGGGGATGCCTAATCTATTCTGTCGGGTAGCCCTTCATCTCTTCATGCCCTGGTTCTTTCCAAAAGAAGGATTATGGGCATACTCACAAACATACTATCCTTTTAGCTACAAACATCCTGACTTGGAAGCAAGTGAAGGACGGACATGTTGAAGAGTAAACAACCTGTCATGGGAGCAGGCAGTGTTAACTGACGTAAGATGGACATAGTTATGTGCACTCAATACTATGCACAACTTGCTGTAGGGACGGTAATTTCATGTACATGTACCCTGCAGTGACAGTGAACAGTACAAGGTGCTTCACTAGCTGGGAACAACATACCCACAGGTCCCACACAACTGACCATCTCAAATAAGACTTAGGGTACTGGATTAAGAAAAAACCTTATGCTAAAAAGATTCCACCTGGAATGGAATATGATCCATCTAATTTGGTCTTCCGAGTTGTTGGAAGGCTTCTAAAATACTGTTGCAGGAAGTCACTCTGGCTCCTTATTATAAAGAGAAAATGAGAAGCACTTGAGCAATCGAGCAACTCAGGATAGTTCATTTAACGACAAAGCTTAAATAAATGGAGGCCTCGAGAAGGATCGGGCCTACTAGCTTTTAGAACACACTGAAAATAACCACAATTTCCTGGTTTTTAAAGCAAACAACAACAACAAAAGCACATTATTAATCATATGAGGGCTCATGTGCCAAAAGTGGTTCATTTGCAAGTAGATTAGTTCATTTAGAAACTGACAATGAAACAAGTCCAAGAGTACAAATGTTTGGCTTAGGATTTAAAGTCTTGTCTGTTGTTATTACCATCATGTTAATCCCCACTGGTGGCCTGCTCGCTCTGGGCTGGGCACCTCACTGCAACTCCATGATATAGTGAGGATGTGGGGCTTATTCAAGGTCATGGTCATCTAGCCGAGATTTCAACAGGCCTGTCATTCTTGTTAACTTTTTCCCTCTTCACTGTAGATGATTTTAAATTAACCAGGAAAAAAAATTTAAGACCTGGCTAAGCTACCTGTTAATATGTAAACAGTTTGGTCCACTTTTAAATGAATCCATTTCTGCGTGTAAGAAGATTCACATTTGAGCCTCGTGACGCCTGCATCCACATCATCCTTCCACATCGATCCTTCTTCAGTCACTTCTCCTGAGCATCATGACTGCATCCAGCTAAGTCAGAGTAGTCAGCCTGCTGCAGCTCCTGCAGCCACACAGCTTTCAATGGGGCAAGCCAGACTCAGAACATGACACTGTTACTTCAGGCTGGATTTCAGTGTCTGTACCTTCACATCTCCTTTCGTGGATTTGTTAAGACTGAAGAAAACTTGGGAGTTCAAAGAAATGTCTTAGGACTGTTCCCCAATTTGCAGTCTTGTATTACAGATCAGTAGAAATACACTAATGTGAGTCATCAATAAATACTTGATGAAAATATAGGCAGCGGTCTTTGACAATTTTTTGTAACTATTCTTATTGAATTATGGAAATCATGGTCTGTGTTTCCTGGGACATCTGGAGACACCAGCCTTTGAGGAGTTTAACTTTGATCTGTACTGGATGAAGAGGAGGTCTTCACAGAACTTCACTCAGTTGCCTCTCAGCCTTCAACAGGAGGAGTTCCCCAAAATGAGATCCTCCTAATTCCTGCTACCAGGAATCAAGCTGTCAAAGCAATTATGGAACAGTGCTAGTAGTTTTCTTAATCCAGCAAGGAATGACTACAAAACATTGTCAAAAATCCTTAAAAGGCTACAAAATAGTGTTGGTATTGTGTATTTTTAAATTTGTTGACTAAGAGTTTTAAATATGACATATTTTCCTTTCAGCCTACAAGGGTCACTCAGCAACCATGTCTAATGGCCAGTTATTCTGGAGATTTAAATACAAGATTGCCTAAATGACGATATGCTATATCTCAAATGAGATGTTAATTGGGGCCTTGGGTCCTGGTTGCTCCCTAACAAGAAGATGGACAGTTTTTCAGGGTGTTTCTTCCAGGGCCTAAGCAATAAAAAGCATTCCTGCTCCACTCACATTTTCCCTAAGAATGCTTTTCTCCTTAACATCTTACGGGACATTTTAAGAGGCTCTCGACTTAGCAACTGTCAGGTAACAACACATGGATTTCTCCCAGGATTCTTTGGTTTCAGATAACAAAGGCTAAGATGTGGTTACTCTGTCTGGGGTAAGGAAGGGCACTGTGGTGTAAAAGCTCCTGCCCCTCCTGCATTGCTCCAATCTCACTCTGATGGGCTTTAGTGTGGAGACTTCTCTGTGAGGTAGAATTGGTACCTCTGGGAGAAAAGGATTGTGCATTTCTCTTAGGTCTTTTCAATGATCCACCAATACAAAATGCCCTTCCCCACAGATTTCATGAGAAGGGACTGAGGGAAGAGAGACAAAGCAAGACAGACAAAATATTACGTGATGAGCTCCAGGATGTCCCTCTGAACATCCCAGGAAGGTGTTCATGGATTACGGCAAAGAGGACAGAAAAGAAGGGTGGGGGGGAAGGAGGCACTGGTGCAAATAGCACTGAATGACAACCAATAGCCAGCTCGCGACTGTACCACCAGTGTTACTGCTACAATTGGAGGCAACATCAATGCCAGAAAATGGGTTAAATGTAAAAACAGCCCAAGAATAAGCCACCAACTGCTTCGCAGCAACCCCATCAACAATAAATAATCAGCAGAGTGGGCAGTGAGTCAAAATGAGTTCCTATTTAAAGAGCAGCAGAAACGAGGACTTCTGGAAAATCAGTGGAAATTCAGCAGTTGGGTTGGCTGGAATCGGCTTTTTGAGGAAAGGTGGCCATATTGGTGGCTCCACCTGCAAGTTGTTGGCAGCAGAGGTTGGTACCTGCTAATCCAGCTCCTGATTTCAATAGGTGTTTATGAAAAGGCTAAAGGACTGTCCTCTAAACATTCTTTTTACCAAACAAAATTTACACAGAGCCTCAAGGTTGCCTTGAGGTCACCTTGGCACTACTGAAACATGAAGGGAATGGGTGAGGAAGACAGAAGAGGGGAGATGGCCAATAGGATGAGTCAGAAAGGAAGAAGGGGAGGGCACATCTGCAGCAGAGGATTTAATGTTAATGTAAAATACTGAGGCTAAGGGAAAAATTTGTTCCAGATAATTCCTGAAGGATAAAACTAGCTTATGTATCCTGCCAATGAAGCAGGTGGGAAACTTTCCCTCTCAGAACCAGACTGAGACTATGAAAATAGAGACTAAATGGCAGAAGCCTCTTATATCTTCCTCTGCTCCCCGCATGCCAAAGGTAGGCTTTTGAAAGCTCCATGGAATTAGACAAAAGCTCCAAGTGAAATCAGGGGAGCTAAAGTCATTTAATCAGGGTTCCTCCCAAGAACCCAGTATTGCTTCATTTGCAAAGGACTCCAGTCGTGACCTGTAATGGTGTTCAGCCATTTGAAACTCTGAACTGAACAAGGAGGCAGTCCTCGGTGCCTGACTCCCCAGAGTGAAGGGCTCACTTCTGCTGGTCCCGAAAACCAGCCAGCCTGTCATTTCAGGTTCCTCAAAGCCAGGCAGGTGGCATTTTATTCTTGGGCCTTTGGGTAGAGACAGGATTAGTTAAGGAGAGCATTTGCACAGCGCACAGTACCGGGAAGTCGTTAATTGCTTGTATGGACCAACGTCGCCGGGCAGAGCGAGGAGACATCTGTGCGTGAAAACGTTACACCCAGGAGGAGGGAAGAAAAACACCAAGAAAATTAAAAGGGAAAAATATAGAATAAAATGAAAGCTTCCCACACATCTGATGGATTAAAAGGTATATATACTGCAAAACCGGAATTGGAATGACGAACACTTGTGAACCTCAGCACAGCAGTTTCTGGATTTCCTCGCCTCCCCCCACGCCTTCACCTTCTAAGCCCACCTTCGGTTTCATCCATCTTCAGTCACATTTCAGGCATACCGAGGCTAGTGTCAACTCTGACAAAGAAACTACGAGAAGGTCCGAGGTAGGAAGGACTAAGGTCATAGTGCCAGGGAGGAACAGGAGAAGATTCTTCCCCTCTGACAGGTGAGAATGAGAACGTGTTCAGAGTATATTCTCATTCCCCAAATGGAAGACATTCTTGAAAACCAATTTGGGGGAGGGTGTGGTTGGGGGGAAGAAGGGAAACGGGTGTCATGACACGGGGACTGCAGGACTATTTTCAGAGCAAGGTCGGGGAGAAGGGAGAGCCCTGGAGAACTAAGGGGAAGGTGGGGAACTAAGCTGAGGAGGAACATTCTTGCTAACAAGAGCACCTGAGCATGGAACTGGGAGAAAACGACCCTGATTATGGAGATCTGTAGTTACTCTGCTAACTGAAAGACCTCCCCAGTTATTTACATCAGAGCTATTTTGGTAACATAAACAGAAACAAAGATGAGAGGCTGAGAATTTTTTTTTTTAATGTCTGTAGGGCAACCTAATATTTACCTTAAGTTCTGGGCCTTCTGATTTATTCTAAGCATGCATGATATTTTATCAGTGATTAATAACTGGTCTACTTGCCAACTTCATTCATGTTAGCATCTCTGTGCTTTCTGAATTCCTATGAAATTTGAGAGGTATTTAGGTCTCTTAACATTTTTAAGTTTTTAGGAGCAATCCTTGGAATTCCATCTGGAGAATACAATCCAACCTAAGTAGGTCAGGTTGAAAACACAAGAGAAGCAAACAGTCGTTTCTAAATGGCTCTATAAATATCTTTTGCAATCTCAAAAACACCCTGTAGCCAGGTGTGGTGGCGCATGTCTGTATCCCAGCAGCTCAGGAGGCTGAGGCAGGAGGATTGAAAGTTCAAAGCCAGCCTCAGCAACTTAGTAAGGCCTTAAGTAACTCATTGAGACTCTGTGTCTAAATAAAATACAAAAAAGGGCTAGGGATGTGGCTCAGTGGTTAAGTGCCCCTGGATTTGCTCCCCAGGCATACAGAGGCTAATGTCAACACAACTCTGACCAAAAAACTACTCTCTCCACCAAAAAAACCCTGTAATTCCTTCATTTCTAGGTCATAAAATTGGCATATTCTTTTTTTTTTTTTTTTGAGATGGGGTTCTCGCCTTGTTGCTGAGGCTAGTCTTAAACTTTTGGTCCTCCTGTCTCAGCCTCCTAAGTAGCTGGGATAATAGGCATATGCCACCATGCCTGGAGCAGGCATATTCTACTCCTTCATTCTCCTTCATTTATTTTATTTTATTTTTTTAGTATCAGGGATTGAACTTAGGGGCACTCACCCACTGAGCCACATCCCCAGCCCTATTTTGTATTTTATTTAGAGATGACAGGGTCTCACTGAGTTGTTTAGCACCTCACTTTTGCTGGAAGTGGCTTTGAACTCGCAATCCTGCCTCAGCCTCCTGAGCGACTGGGATTACAGGCGTGTGCCACCACACCCGGCCATTCTCCTTCATTTAAAACTCTTGTGGTAGAGATCTAAAAGGGAATAAAGGTATGAAGGAGAAAAAAATGGGGCACCAAAATATGTGGTAAACTGAAAAGTTTCCAGGACAAAACAATAAAGTGATACTATTTGACAGGTGAAACTAGACTCCTGCGGACTAGAAAATGACCCTCAAGATGCATGGGCCTCTGGTAGGAAGACAAAGCCGCCTGTGTAGGACATTGTGGAGTATTCCACTGCTTTAATTCCCCCTCTGCCCTATTTAAATAGGACAGACATAAACAAGCTTCAAGGAAGGTAAGTTTATTTCAAATTCATCACAAAATAATGACTTACTCATTCTTGCCTTCTTAAGCTAATACGTTGAACCACACAAAACTATTCTTTAGATCCAAAATGATCAAATATCAGCAATTTCAAATGATTTACCCTAGTAATGATTACACATCATCCATTAAAATGTGTTTCCCCTCCCCAGGGCCTCTGAGGGTCTTAAGATGTTCTATTACATGCTTAAGATCTGTGAACTTTTCTATATAATATTTTATACATCAGAATAAAAATTTCCTGTGAGATTATAATCATAGCAACCTCCCATTTTAAATGGTCACTACTTAAAATAAAACTTAAATACCACTAACTATGTCAGACAAGGGTACTATAATGGCCCATCTTCTGTGGAGAAGCTGCACACCAAACTGAAATATCACGTTCCATCCTCTATCCCCAGCAGATACTATCTGCTAGTTTGCAGATGCTTTGGTCCCTCTTTATGATAGTGGTGGAGTAAAAAGGGCCAGAGCATTGTAAACAGTAATGTAGGCTTTACCACTACTTCTGCAGGAGGAGAGGTCCCATCTGGGAACAGAGTTACCTTGACTACACACAGGCTTTCCACACTATCACAAAGTCAAAAGCGCTAGTCACTCTACTCTGCCCAATCCCAACCCAAGCATGGTAACACATGGCATAAACTGAGAGGAATTCAGAATCGCCCTGGCCCTGATGTCAAAAAAATTCTCACCTAAGGACTGGCGGGTATAGCTCAGTGGGAGAGTGCTTGCTTTGCATGTAGGAGGCTGGTTTGATCCCTAGCACTACAAAAATAAATAGGAGTCACATATATTTAACCATGAGTTTATATGGCTTGTATGGCAATAAAATGTCTAGTTCTAAGCAATTTATCAAATCATCTATCCAATTACATGCTAACTTGTAGAAAAAGAGCTAAGAATTTTTAATGTAAAGAGCTGGGGGAAGACATAGTTTGGAAGATGTTCCAGGGAAGTCTGTGCCAGCCAGGAGCTGTGTGGAAGGGGACTGTAGAAAGCTGGACAGGAGGCAATAAAAAGTCATTTTCCCTATTTAACTGAGTGGTTTACCTAGGACTGGTCAGATCAGTTGCTGCCATTTGTTTCAGTCACAAGTAACCCTGAGACTAATTAAAGGCAGAGCTGGCCAGGCTAGCAGTACAAGACAACGGTGGACAGTATCCTGCAACTGGAGTGAAGGCACTTCTAATACCTGATAGAAATTCATTTTTTTTAATATTTAAAATCATTAAATTTTTTAAAAAAGCAAATTTTAGTTAGAGACGATTCGCTATTTCTCATTTAGTGGGAGAAAACAACAAAGAATTCCTAAGCGCTGAGTTTATGCAGTAGCTCAGTGACAACTCTTTACCACATCATGTCATCAGCTAAAGCCTGTCATGCCAGATTCTCAATCTGACAACCCAAAAGAGTTCTTTTAATCAATTATTCCAAAGCTCTGCCACCATTCTCTCCACTGTTGTGACCCAAGATTCTTGCCAGCACAAGAAGAACTGCTTTCAGGACAGTGAGTTCCTTAAGAACTCCAGAACATAAGGATAAGATCAGGTGGATTTTGTATAAACCAATGTATTCCATTGGGAACTTAAATGTATTTTTAGCAGAAGAAGCTTTTAGAGATGAACTTTAAAACTCTCACAACTGTGAAATTCCCACTATGTCAGATTCCAAGCCTTCAGAACATCCCTTAATCTGTTGACAAACATCAGAATACCAACAAAGACTGGAGGCTTAATTATTCTAACTGAAATAATGGGGATCAACTCAATGAATGGGGAATCCAAGGACTGGGTTAAATAGGGAGTGAAGAACACGGACTGTAAGTACACTGACCCCTCCCTCCAACTTACAGTCAACGAAAAGGAGCAAAGCAATGGCCTTTGAACAAACTATGAGAGTGAGAGCTATAAAGGGACTACTAACTTGGCTGCGGTGGGCAGGCAAACAGTACAATCCAGGAGAAGGGGAAGAAACAAAGGCCATGGCTCTGGCACTTACCCGCTCCTTGTAGTAGAAGGAGCTGATGGAAACCTGCTCTTTCTCGCTGCGCGTGGGGCTCCCGCTATATAAGCGAAGGTTCCCAGGGGCCTCTGTGCGGATCTTCATTGGTGCGATCAAACCAGTATGATAAGCAGACAAGGCGGAGAGAGATCTGCAGTTGACAATGAGAATTATCTACATTGGCTGTTTTTTTTCCCCCCATATTTGTAAGTAGTGCTATACACAGCACTTGCTGAAACCAAGAGGAAAAGACATGGGAAGAAAAAGGAAAATTCCAAAAAAGAACCAAGCAAAACTTTTAGAGCTGAAAATGCTTTATCTGCACAAGCACAGGATACTCCAATGTTTGTATACACAAAAAAAGCTTTAAATAACTAGAACTAATTGGTAAATTTAGATTCAAGATCAATTTATTAAAAATATACTGTATTTCCATATATTAGAAACATCTAAAAAATAAACAATTTTTAAAATTTTACTTACAATAGCATCAAAACACAACAAATACCTAGGAACAAACCTAGTTTTTAAAAAATGTGCATTAGAAATGTGAAGCATCAGGCATCACAATACCAGACCTTAAACTACAGAGCAATAGTAACAAAAATGGCATGGTACTGGCACCAAAACAGACATGAAGACCAATGGTACAGAATAGAGAACACAGAGACAAACCCACATAAATATGGTTATCTCATACTAGACAAAGGTGTCAAAAACATACATTAGAGAAAAGATAGCCTCTTCAACAAACTGAAAATCCATATGCAGCAAAATGAAATTAAACTTCTATGTCTCACCTTGCACAAAACTCAACTCAAAGTGGATCAAGGACCTAGGAATTAGACTAGAAACCCTGCACCTAACAGAAGAAAAAATAGGCCCAAATCTTCATCATGTCAGATTAGGCCCCGACTTCCTTAACAAGACTCCTAAAGCACAAGAAGTAAAATTAAGAATCAATAAATGGGATGGATTCAAACTAAAAAGCTTCTTTCCAGCAAAAGAAACAATCAATGATGTGAAAATCAGTGATGTGAAGAGACAGCCTACAGAGTGGGAGAACACCTTTACCACACACACATCAGATAGAGCACTAATCTCCAGGATATATAAAGAACTCAGAAGACTTAATACCAAAAATCAAACAATCCAATCAATAAGTAGGCTAAGGAACTGAACAGACACTCTCAGAAGAAAATACACAAGTGATCAACAAATATATGAAAAAGCGTTCAATGTCTTTAGTAATTAGAGAAACGCAAATAAAAACTACTCTAAGATTTCATCTCACTCCAGTGAGAATGTCAGTTATCAAGAATATAAGCAATAATAAGTGTTGGTGAGAATGTGGGGAAAAAGGGACACTCATACATTGCTGGTGGGACTGCAAAATGGTGCAACCACTTCAGAAAGCAGTGTGGGGAGATTCCTCAGAAAACTTTGAATCCAACTTCCATTTGACCCAGCTATCCCACTCCTTGGTCTATACCCAAAGGACTTAAAATCAGCATACTACAGGGACACAGCCACACCAATGTTTATAGCAGCTGAATTCACAATAGCTAAACTGTGGAACCAACCTAGATGCCCATCAATAGATGAATGGATAAAGAAACTGAGGTATATATACACAATGGAATATTATTCATCATTAAAAGAGAATAAAATCATGGCATGTGCAGGTAAATGGATGGAGTTGGAGAATATCATGCTAAACGAAGTAAGCCAATCCCAGAAAACTAAAGGTCGAATGTTTTCTCTGATTAATGGATGCTGATCTATAATTGAGGGAGGCGGGCTTGGGAAGAATGGAGGAACTTTGGATTGGGCAAAGGGGAGGGTGAGGATGGATTATGAGGGTAGGAAAGATGGTGGAATGAGATGGACATCATTATCCTAGGTACACGTATGACTACACGAATGGTACATTTCTACACCGTGAACAATCAGAGAATTGAAATGGTGTGTTCCATTTGTGTATGATCAATTGAAATGCACTCTGCTGTGATATGCACCTAAGTAGAACAAATAAAAAATAATAATTTTTAAAAAAGATGTCAGTTTTCTCTAAACTCATCTACAGAGTTAATACAACCTCAATCAAAATATAAGCAAGGTTCTGTTTTTTTTTTTTTTTTTTTTTTTTAAGAAACTAAGCTAATGTTATAATTTTGTGAAAATGTGAGAAGACCTATAATAACCAACAAAAAAACTAAATAAGAATAATAAACTTGGAGGACTCTTGCCATCGGGTGTGAAGACTCTACACAAAGCTACATCATGAGTATAGTGTTAGCATAAGGAGAGACAAAGCGACCACTGAAGGAAAAGACAGTCCAAAAACTGACCACAGATAGGTTGTCCGTTGATTTTCACCAAAGGTATCAATACCAATTCAACAAAGAAAGCTTTACACAGATAGTGCCAGAACAACCACTTCTCTCTACTGAATAAAATAAACTTTGACCCTTACCCATCATCCACACAAAAAAAATGAGAGATGGATCACAGATATTAAATAAGGAATTTAAAACTGTAAACTTTTCAAAAGAAAACAAGGGAATATTTTTGTGACCTTGGGGTAGGGAAAGATTTTTTTGATGAAACACAAAAATCACTAACAAAGTAAAAAAGTAATAACCTGGGCATCATCGAAATAGAACACTGCTATTCCTTGAAAACCATTAAGGAAGGAGAAAGACAAGCCACAGAGGAGGAAAAAAATCAATAAACACTTCCAGCAAAGGACCTGCAACCAAAATAGACAAGCACCACAAATAAATAAGAAATACAGTCAAGGAAAAAAGTGCATGATACCTGAAGAGACACCTGGCAAGAGAAGATGGTAAGTAAGTACATAAACGCTGCTCGGCATCATTAGTCGTCATCACGGAAATGTAAATTAAAACCAGGAGGTAATATTTCATGCCCACCACAACCACTGAAGTTGAAGAGATTAGCAATGCAAAGTTTTAGAGAGATCGTAGAGCAATAAGTGCTCTGAACATCACTGATGTGAGGGCAAAATGACACAACCACTGTGTACCAACTTTCTGGTAATTTCTAATAAAATTAAACATACACCTATCTTATGACACAGCAATTCCACTCCTTGGGCAAAGAAACTAATACTTGTGTTCATTAAAAGGACAGTACATAATGGCCCCAAACTGGAAATACTCCAAATGTTCAAGAATAGAGGAACAACCTATATCATGTTCATAAAACCCAATTACTCATAGAGGCAACCACGTGGGTCAACTTTAGTATCACTAAGTCAAGCAACGTAAGCTGGCCATAAAACAGTTCAGCAGTTCACAGTGCATGTCTACCTCAATGACCTTTAGGAACAGACAAAACTCAACTGGGCAATGAGAAACTGGGAAAAGGAATTGGGAATTTGAGGGGCAAGGACAATGCTTCACATCTTAATGTGTGTACTGATAATTATATTTCAATAAAGTACTGCTGGCTGAAAATGTTCCTATAGAACATGTGATCCAAAGTCCAGGTACAGATCTTCACTGTGTCCCTCTGAAAGGAGGTCACTTTTCTGGTCTAACCTTTCCAATATGGAATCTAATGTAAGGCAAGTTCCCTGGTTACTTAACCTCCAGTTCTTATGGGTCAAGAAGATCTCATCTGCCTGGATTAGTGTGGAGTCTGGCAATTTCCCAGTCCAGCAGAGGCATCTGTTCACACACTGCTTGATGATTCTTCCTAACTATGCTGAGCTAACGATACTGTGTGTTCCGCGTTACCCTGGTCACTGCTCTGCAGAACCAGAAGTCTACTGTATGATCTTAAAGTTTAAAAAAACAGTGGTCACAACAGGAAACATAGTCTGAGCACTCCCATGTACTGGCAGTGTTTTCAAAGGCCTTAAAAAGGACTTGCTAGTTTAGGCTCCAGAGGAAAGTGCTATCAGCTTCTCCACAGGACCTCTGAAGAAACTAAAACAGTCTAGATAAGCTGCCTGAGCTCAGTGAACCACACAGGGATCCCCCTAGTTCATGGAAAAAGAAAGGAAGGGCTTTCAAACTTGAACCTAAAGCTTCTGCATTGTTTTGAGTTTTCCCAACATATTCCTTATATAACTTATTAAAATTACATGTATTTTGATAATGTTAGACATAGTATATCAGTGTTGTGGGACTACAGATGATCTTTACGTTGTGTCTTTTTTTTCAGTTTAACAGTAAATCAAATACCAAAAATTTTAAAATAATAATAAAGTAATAACAATAGGGAAAACATATATTAACAAAGGATTTGCCTTGTTTCGGCAATAGTTTTCATAAAGCTGCCCCTTCATGTAGTTTGGCAGTAACCTTATAGCAGAAATCTCAGCTTTTCTGAATTTAATGAACCACCATCTTTCTTGAATGAATCTTACAAAGGGAGTTTACTGAAAAACTAAAACAAACTGTCCAAAGCCAGAGTCAGTGGTCCTTCCCATATTTCTGCCCACTTCTGGCCCCCTGGATATAGACGCAAAAGCATCTTCTAGACTCACCTGGGAGTGGGTTCTGTTGGAGACACTGCTCGATGCATTGTCATGGGCCTTGTGAAATATACCAGGTAACCTGACAAAGGAGACAGCACATGTGCATGTCAGTGGGAAGTGCCAAGACAGGACTGGGCAATCTGTTTTTCTGTCTCAATATACCTGAGGGATAAGACACGATTTTTAAAAATTGCAAAGGCTAATGCTACAGTGACTCTGCACAGGCCCAAAGGTGAGAATCTCCAGGATCAAGGACGGATGGGATATATATGGACTGGATCAAGTCTCCACAGATGCTTTACGTTCCCTATAGGGGACTTATCCTCTGTTAAGAATCAGGGCTCTAAACTAGACTCAAATCCAAGTTCATCAGAATGAAACAAATGAAGACTCCAATTCTGGTGGGATATACTCACAGAAACTAATGTGGCCTCATAGTATAAAATACTACTACAAAGAAGTTCTGAGTTCTTAGGAAATGAAAACAAAGAAGGCTTTTCTAGGGCAGATGTTCATACAGAATACATGACACTCTTGGCTGTATTCCCTTGAAATCCAGAATCAGCAAGTCACAGAGACCAACCTGCTCCACAGAACCTGGCCCCAGAAGTCCTAGGAAAGGGAATATTGGCATCTTGGTATGACCCATAGGCCGTGGTCACCCGCGCAAAAGTTGGCAAAGGTGGTGTGACAGAGTTTGGGAGTGCAAACGGGTTGCTAGAAGCACTGTCTTCTTGGTTCTGAAATTTAAAAATCAACAAACTAAAAACCACAGCCTGTCTTAGAGCTGAGTTACAAAACAGGGGTATGACATTAGAAAGTCAGGGAGCCCAGGATTTTAGGAGAAGATATGAAACAAGACACCAAAGCCTAGGTCGATACACAATTTCATGTTTCCCACCACAAAAGACTCAAGGCAGGAGACGAGCTGGCGTAGGCAGGGCTCCAAACAGCTCTGGTTGCGTTTCACTTTTTGCAGGGAAGTGTCCTTCAGGATCTAGAAAAGGCCCAGAACACAGTCAAGAAGAGCATCCCATTTCTCCCGCTTGGCTTTACTCTGCAAAGTGGGCAGAAGCATAATGGTGCAGGGACTGAGGCATGGTTAGGTCTAAGGTTTCCAGGGCAATGCACTCTATCTTCCACAGCCCTCAAGGAGAAGGCCTGAGTCCTGAACCTCCTAGGGAAGCCTTTCCTTGGCCCAGGCGGCCGGCCACACACACACTGGTTCTAGCATGAGAATAGCTATTCTTTCTTTCTAGTGAATTCAGGCTCTTTCATCTCTCCTGACCCCACCTCCTTCATGAGAAATCTCAGCACCTTGGAAGTGATACCCACTGGGCTGGACTAAAAACAGCTCTGAGAAAAAGAGCCAGGGGGGAACAGATTTCTCCTCAGCAGAAATTATAATGTGTTTTTATTTTTTTGTTCTTTAAAGTTATAAATCCTACTATTTTAAGATGCATGCCACAGATGTAAACTGACACCCACAATGAAGACAGGCCTATGAACTAGACCCATTTGTCCCTACCACCTGAAATGTGCCTCGTCCAAACTCAGAGGCACTGTAAAACTCACAGTGAATGTTGGTACAGAAAAAAGTGTAAAATATCCCAATAAGTTTACGTTGATTATACGTTGATATGATAATATTTTGGATGTGCTAGATTAGATTAAAATATTATTAAAATTAATCCACTGCTTCTTTTAGTTTTTCTTGTGTGGCTATTGGAAAATTTTGAAATTACATGTGGCTTGCATTAACACTGCTATTAGCATTGAATTAGACCTTTAAATTTGACACTTCTCATTTTAAGCCTATCATTTTATACTGACACATATACATATATATAAATGTATATATGTATATGTATATATATGTGTGTCAGTATAAAATGATATATGTATATGTATATATATGTACTTTTTTTTGTCCAAACTAGGCAATGAAATATTCAGAATCCAAGTTTAAAATGACAAATACCACAAAATCTGAATAATTAGCATTTCAGAGATCTTTAAGCCACTTAAAAAATGTCTGATTACATATGCTACCACAATAGGATGGAACTATCAAATGAATATGATCCAAAATGGGTAAAGATAAGCTATGTTCAGGTCAGCGTGGGCTTATGAGGACACTTCAGTTCCTTCACTTGTCACACTGCTCAAACTGAGGAATGTTTGCCTCAGTTTGACTCCTAGCACTTTCTGATAGAGGTTCTGCCTGATTAGATCTCACTGACACATTGAGTTGAAGACCAACTGCCAGGCTGTGCCACCTGCAACCACATACCGCTGTCCTTCACACACCTTGCCTGTGCAGCTAGACAGTTTATCTCTAAGCTAACCCTGGTTCCTTCTACGGGATGGAAAATATTTTTAATGACTATATACATTTTTTTCTGATTATCAAATATCTTTTAGCTTCAGAATGTCTTGCCTATTTCTAGATAAACAGAACTCCAGGGTTCTTAACCTAAGATTAGTGCATAGCTTTAGTGATCTCTGTGAGATTACATGCAATTCATATCCTAGTATTCAATATTTCTGAAGTTATATGCAAAATCTGTGCAAATAATTCTGAAGAAGGATCTATAGTCTTCATTAGACATCCAAAGGACATCCATGATTCAGAAAAGATTAAAAATCACTGCTCCAGGGACTGGGGTTGTAGCCCAGTGGTAGAACATTTGCTCAGCACATGTGAGGCAATGGATCTGAGCCTCAGCACCACATAAAATAAATAAATAAAATAAAAATACTGTGTTCATCTACAACTAAAAATATTTTTTAAAAAATCACTGCTCTAACATTGTCTACACAAAGGGATAGGCCAGTGTGTTGCTAATACCATAGCATGCAGGGGATAGACGGCTTCCAAATCTTTGAGTTCCACTTAACTTCACTACTCAGCACAGACACTGATGCACACAGCAGAGCTCTTGTCTTACAAAAGCAAAGAAAATTTGGGAACCCAGATCCCCACCTTCAGCAGCTTAGCTTTCATGGTCGATGTGATGGTTGTGGGGTTAATAAACTGGAAGGAAGGGACGGCATTGTTGGGGTACTGAGCTGGGAACTTCACCAGCATCTTGACACGGTGGCTGCTGCAGTGCGCGGACACCGTGCAGCTCCTATCTGCAGCATCCATCTGCAAGACACAGACCCACAACTTCTTAGCAGGCAAACTGCAAGGTTTTCAGATGTAAATGAACTTTTTATTTTTATTTCTTTTTTTCTTTTTTTTCTGCGGTGTGGGGATCAAACCCAGGGCCCTACACAAGCTAATCAGGCTCTCTTCCTACTACTGAGCTATACCCCCAGCAAGATGCAATTAGATGTAAATAAGCTACCTGAATGTTCCACGTTCCTGATAAAGGGAGACAGTCCACAAAGACAAATGAGTTTGGAAACAACCTGTTTTCAAAATAGATTTTAAAATCTTAGTACTGCCTTAATGAATTCAAAGTATTTTTACTTAAAAAGCTTCAACCCAAAGCTTTGAGGTTAACTAAAACTTGTTGGATTTACTTTGAGATGAGAAAATAAAGCAGGAAGAAGTTAAAATGAATAACCTGATTCAACATAGAAAGCACTCTGACCTGGGCATGATAGCCACACCTGTAATCCCTGCTACTCAGGAGGCTAAGGCAGGAGAATTGCAAGTTCATGACCAGCCTGGGCAACTTAGTGAGACCTTGTCTCAAAATAAAAAATAAAAAGGGCTGGGGATGTTGCTCGGAGGCAGAGTGCCTCAGTGGTAGGGTTCAATCCCCAGTATCACAAACAAACAACAACAACAACAAAAAAAAAACAGTATTTCTTAGAAAATCCATAGACATAGAGCAGATGAATGGCTACCAGGGCTGGAAAGAGAGCCAATGGAGGTGACCGCTAATGGTTACAGGAAGTTTTTTTCAGGATGATGAAAATATTCTGGAATTAGACAGTGGTGAAAGGTTGCACAACTTTGTGACTACACTAAAAACCACTAATCGCATACTTTAAAAAGGCAAATTGTGTGATATGTGAATTATATCTCAATAATTTTTAAGACGTACTCCTGAGGAAAAGAACCAAGACCTCCTTCTTAAACCAGATCACTAGGTTAGCCACACTGTTCTCCACTGGGCCAACGGACATATATGGGTGGAGTTGATGGAGATGGCCAATTAATCAAAACATCCTTTAGATCTGTTGATTTCTTGTGCTGCCAACTAAAGAAGGCAGCCGGAAAGCAGTGAAAAGAGCCAAATACATGGGAAATCTGGAGTTGGATTCCAACATTATCTCTTCCACCAAATAGCTGCTGACCTTGGACAAATCATTCACCTCTGGTGTCTTGATTTCCTCATTTGTAAAGTGAGGTAAAACCACTCATTACAGAATGGTTTTAAAGGTCAAGTGAGATAATTATGTAACAACACATCTTTCTGCCTACAGTTAACTAAATCTGGGCAAAAGAAAAACCAATCAAGCTTTAAAACCGCTTCCTGTATACTCAGTTCTCTGAAGCAAAGAGTTTCAATATCTGTCTAAAAGGAAAAGGGTAAATTGGTCCAAGTGCTAAGTAGTGAAGAGGTCTGAGTGGCCCTTTTACTCTGAATCTAAATCACCAAGGAAAGGACCAGCTTGTAAGAGAAGGGAATACAGCACAGCACAGCACAAAGGGCTGGGAGAGTCAGGAGGTTTGGCTTCCAAGGTCAGCTGTGCCCTTAACTTCCCCAGTAACTCCTGGAGCAAGCACCCATGTATAGTAAAAGGAGGTACTGGACCAACAGAGGAGGTGCTAAGGTACATGACTTCTGCTCATTTTAGGAGAAAAGAACAGGATCAGAAAAAGAGTTTGCATTTGTGAAACACCTACATCTTTAGAAAATCCAGAAATTAAGCAAGGAGTAGAGAGTTTTAACTGTAAGAACAGAAAAGCTATTTGCCAGCTAAAATCATAGTTGAAATAGTCCCCACCCCCACAAACATCCATCAGCAAGCATGAGGCACTGTTCAGTAAGCTACAACTTACCTCTACATTGACATTCCGGATTTGCACGTTGATCAAGGAGAACTCCTGTTGCAGAGTCTGAGGCAGACCCAGCTGATCTGACTTCCTGTCTTCCAGGAGACTGTTAGGGGGATCTTCCTTTACCACTGGCAGAAAAGATGATCAATGTTGGAAAATGTTTTTGATGAGTAGGTTCTGGAGTATTTACTGTACAATTTGTGGCCCCTCCCCTAAGACATCAGTCTGACACATTACCTTCTTCCTCTCCATGGCTTGAGTTATGCTGGTGATCTGAATCTTGAGTGTGCAGGGTCTTCTCTGGTTCTGGCAGAAGAGAAATGCTCTCAATGAACTCATCAACACCATCTAATATGTCATTGGCACAGAGCTGCAACAAAGGGTAGAAGATGAGGGACCAAAGGATCAGTAGAAATGATCAGTCTGCCTGGCTAAGAGCTTTGATTTAAAAAATGGGACTCATACAGGATAGATGTGTCAGCCAAGAACTGGTAGAATCAAAATAGTTTGTGACCATCACCAACTCCCCCTGGTTAAATACACAGGATAACACCCTATTATTCTACTCCAGACATTCAGAGTTTATGAAAGGCTCAGAGAAAATTAAATTCCAATAATGGAGTTATTCAACTAATCCATAATGATAACCTCAAAGCATCTGAGCAAATGACACCTTTTGGAGAAAATAGGTTGAAAAGGCAATAATGTGATGGGACCAGGCCAAAATGCTCAACAGTGATTTTATTCTAAGCAAAATTACAAAATTTCCATTAGTTCTATGCAAAGTGGTGTTCCAGGTGCATGGAAGATGCAATAACAGTCAGGCACATTTCTCCCCACCAAGGGATTAAGCCACTGAAGGAGGAAAAGAGAGCCCCATGACAAGGCAGAGTTGAATGAGTCACAAGAGCAATTCATGCCAGTTACCACTGTGGTTTATGCAACAAACAAATATCACATTTGGAAATAGCTTCATAGAAAAGGTTGTGTTGATGGAAGAAAGGACTCTGAATGTCCACAGAGAACAAGGGTAGGCTTCTTAGCCCATTAAAGACAACGAAATGAAGCCAATGGCCACTTACTCAGTGTGTACCCATCCTATCTTGTACTAGGACAAGAGGAAAAAAATGTTGACAGGCTCTTCAGCCTCAAAGTGCTAAACACTTTAGTTCTTAAAGATCTCAAAGCCGGGGCTGGGGATGTGGCTCAAGCGGTAGCGCGCTCGCCTGGCATGCGTGCGGCCCGGGTTTGATCCTCAGCACCACATACAAACAAATGTTGTGTCTGCCGAAAAACTAAAAAATAAATATTAAAATTCTCTCTCTCTCTCTATTAAAAAAAAAAAAAAAAGATCTCAAAGCCAGTATGGCATGTATAAACCATTCAGCCAGCCAACCAGTCATGTGTGTGAGGTGTATATCATGTATCCTCTACCTTCACAAATACTGGAAGTTTCTGCTGTTGTTAACTTTCTAGTTTATCCAGCTATACACCTCCACAAAAGCACTGAATACATACCCTTTGCATCTGGTAATCCACTCGCCACATTCTCAAAGTCTGATCCCGGGACCATGTAACCAGTTGGTAGTCCTTGGAACCTAGAAATCACCAAATAAAAATCATAAACTAGGCATGGTGACACATGTTTATAATCCCAGTGACTTGGGAGGCTGAGGCAAAAGGATCACAAGTTTAAAACTAGCCTTAGCAACTTAGCAAGGCCCTAAGTAACTTAGTGAGACCCTGTATCAAAATTAAAAAATAAAAAGGGCTGGGGATGTGGCTCAGTGGTTAAGCACCTCTGGGTTCAATCCCTGATACCCCCCCCCCAAAAAAAAAGAATCCTAAAAATACTTCTGAATTTGACATCTGTTTTCTTATAGGTCACAATAGAATGAAATTCATTCATAGGTATATAATACAAATAAATATTTACTACATATTTCCTCTACACCAGGCACTGTTTAGGCAGCAGAACAATAGCATGAGTAAAATAAACTCTATCATTAGAGATCTCACATTCCAACCGTGGAAAAAGTAAATAAATATGTAATAAAATGGTAGTGCTAACTGCATAAAAAAAAAAAAAAACACAGGATAAGAGGACAGAGAGAGAGTTATTTTTAGAGAGGCCTCCCTAAGGAAGTCCCATTTCAGCAGACACTTAAATGAAGTGAAATAATAACTGGCAAATTAGCAGTTGGAGATGATGCTGAGATTTAATGTCACACTAAACTTTCACCTCTGCAAGTATTCTTCCTTTTATATTATAGGCCCCTTGGGAGCTGGGGGTGAATAAAGTTTTTGTAAAAATTGATTGTTTTAAATACATGATAACATCTTACTATTCAAAATAATTTTTTGGTAAAGTGACACATCTCTTTAAAAAATGAATAATCAATTTTTAATTTTCTTAATTGACTGAATCAGATTTTCACATATCAAGTCTGGTCCAAAAGAAATTATTCCAAAAAGGTTCAGGGTCCTTTTTGAAAGATCAGAACACTCAGGGTAATTATGCAGCATTTAGAATCTCCTCCATGGCTAACTAAAGACAGCAAAGAATCCAGAAATAATTTCATCTAGTTCTCTCACTTTATGGATGGAGAAACTGAAGCACGGTATGTCCAAGGTAATAGGGTGGGTGAGCAAAAAAACATGGCTCAGTTCTCTTCCTTGTTAAGTTCCTTTTCTGTGCCACTCCCTTCAACCAAAACTCATTCCCCTAGGCACATCTAACAAGACAGCAACTATTCTGAACTTCTGTGGAGTTCCACCATCTAGTCTCATGCTGATGGTCATCAATTTTCTGACCCTACAACTGGCCTCTCTGCATGCTCCTGACTAAGGAAAAGATAAGCGGAAGTGCTCTGTAAACCCAGCTCTTCTATCTGTACCTTCTACCCCATTCCCACCCCGTTGCCAAAAGGCCCTGCTAGCTCACTGACTTCCTTTCTCTCATCTTCTCCCTGACTTCAAAGAGAGAGGCAGGAGGCTCCACCAGCAGGCTCATTTCACTCTTTGCCTTTGAAGGTAGCAAAACTGGTTCCTGCTGCCTGTTTATGGCACCTCAAGATCTGGCTCCCGGACTCAAACTGCTTTGGCATTCCCCTCTTAATGATCACGTGATTTCCTTTTCATTGAACTATAAAATGCTTTTCTCCTACTCTGCATTTTGACCCTTCAGCAATACCCACAGTCAATGCCTACCACTTCCTCCAGGATGCATCCTTTGCCCTTGGCCACAACATCTGATTCTCTTCCTACCTCTTTTTTTTTTTGAAGGGAGGAGATAATTTTTTTTATACCTTTGTTTTATTTATTCATTTTTATGTGGTGCTGAGGATCAAACCCAGGGCCTTGCACGTGCTAGGCAAGCCCGCTAAGCCACAACCCCAGCCCTTCCTACCTCTTTGAGAGATCCTTCCTCTCGGAGAAAATCAAAATCAAAGCATGAGGTGATTCAATAAAAACTGACTAAGAAGACAGAGCAGTAGAAATAAATCAGAGCAATATTAGATTGGGAAGGAAGTAAATATAAAAACACATTAAAGGATAATAAATTTAGAAAAGGTTCAAAAAGAGGCAAACCTAAACTATTCTTAGGAATTCATAAATAGGTGGTAAAACCATAAAGGAAAAAATAGAAATTGCTATCCTAAATGTCAAGATGAGAGGAACGTGATCAGGAAGACTCTGGGATCCTGGCAATGTTCTTTCTTGACTGTGATGGAATTTACATGGGTTTTCACTTCATAACTATTAAATTGTTCATGTTCAATGTAATTTTCTAGATTTCACAATAAAAACGAACTTTAAAAAAACCCTATAATTTAAAACGAAAATTTCAGTAATAGTTAGAAAGTTCCCACCACTTAAAGATGACATAGATAACTAAAAATGGGTTGTTAAAAACTATTTATTTGAATCCTTGGGCTGGGGATGTGGCTCAAGCGGTAGCACGCTCGCCTGGCATGCGTGCGTCCCGGGTTCGATCCTCAGCACCACATACAAACAAAGATGTTGTGTCCACTGAAAACTAAAAAAATAAATAAATATTTAAAAAAAAAAAAAAACAAAACTATTTATTTGAATCCAAAACTACAGTCAACCCTTCCTGACAGATTATAGGGTGATTACATCATCTATTTCCTATGGCAAAATGCAAGAGATTTAAGTCAAAAGCCAAAAGCCATGCACACAATTGGTGGGGTAAAGATCAGGAAGCATGTTGTTTCTGGAAGCAACAGAGATTTTGGAGAAAAGAATAAGAAAGTTAAGAGGATGATGAAGAGTCTCTCTAAAAAAATATTGGGGGGCTGGGGTCATGGCTCAGTTGGTAGAGTGCTTGCCTAGCATGTGAGACACTGGGTTCAATTCTCAGCACCACATATAAGTAAATAAATAAAGGTCAATCAACAACTATAAATAAATAAATATTCTGGAAGGCCAAACAACAGTCTTCTTTCCCACCCACCTTCCTTCTGTCTCCTCCACTGGAACTCCAGCACCACGTCATCGTGTCCCACAAAGGTGTGGACGGGAGTGTTCAAATCAAAGACATTCCACAGGAGCAGACTATTTTCCCTCCGCAACTGGGGAACCATCACAGTCACTAATCCATTGCTGAAAGGCTACGGCAAGAAAGGGAAAAGTGGTAATTATTCCAGGGACAATCAGCCAAGTCTCAGCTTCTAAAGGTGGGATTCTTCCTAAATAAAATACATTACATGATGGAAGGCTCCAACCCATGTAGGGGAATGACCGTCACACCTAGCCTTCGCTCTGCTTATGGAAGAGACCACAGCAAGTGAAAAATAAGAGAGAACTTTGGAAACTTTTGGAGAACTTTCAAAATTCTACAACAAGCAATGCTCTAAGTACTGTGTCAAAGCCAAGTTACCCTCCATGAGTTCCCTCTCAAAAATAAGCACATGAGTCTGCCTGGGAAAAGCCATGGAGTAGCAATCATTCCGGCTGTGTGGAAAGGCCAGAAGCACACCATTCACAAGAAGCATCACCTTCCACTGCCCCAGTACTACAACTACTGAAAATTAAACTCAGTAACCTCAAGACTGATGTGCTTTACCTAGCAACACTCAATCTGCTAGGGACCTAAGAGGCCCATCTGGTTGGTAACTAGATTGTGTTAGTCAAGGAATAATAAGGGCACATTCATTTATCTTCATTTCCTCTCCTGGTAACACACCTGGACTTATTCTGTTTATTTTTAAAAGCAAACACTAATCCAGAGCAGTGTATCAGCTCATAAGAACAGTGTCTGATTTCTTAACAAATGTTCCCAGATGCAAAAACAACTTAAGACCCAATTATCTTCACTACTCCCCAATGCCCCACAGTGACAGCCTAATGAATAAAGACAGCTTTACTCACCCCTATGACATTAAAGGAAATATATTAACTCCCATCAGTGGCTATCAATGTGGCCACTGAAAAGTGGTTGGTGAGTTGGTAATAGCCTACCATCTTTACATATAGTATTTCATGATTATTAAGCATATTCACATACATTATCTCAAAAGGAAGGTAGATTGTGAACATACTAAATGTCACCAAATTATCCACTTTAAAATGGTAAATTTTTCTTTTAAGGTGAAAACTTAGGAAGAGTTATCTTGTAAGAAAAATGTCAGAAAATAAATCAACAAGATACAGCACAGGGGTGCTACTAGACACAACAAGTACCCTGAACATTAGAAATGACATTTTGACAGAGAACAAAATTTATTGTTATAATTTGAACAACATTAGTTCTAAATTATACTTTCCCTGAAATACCATTGACTTAATACAGTGGCTACATTTATGAAGTCATTTCAGAATCTAGCCTGCGTTCACATTGCAGAAAGAATTTAATTATAATGATTGTGGGAAATCCAGTCAACCTTGATTAAACATGATATTGCAAAGTAAGGATAATGCTAAAATATTTGATGGGGAAAAGGTTACAGACCGAAAATTTTTATGACAGGTACTGACAAGCTCAAAAACAGACCCACACACTATGCCTTACACCTCCTGACATGGTCAGACACAGGACCTTTTCATTTTGCCCCTCACTGACTATTTTACTGCTTATGACTTATTTTTTAAAATTCTAATCTGTTATATATGACTCCAGTATGCATTACAATTCATATTACACATATAGCGCATAATTTTTCATATCTCTGGTTGTATACAAAGTATATTCACACCATTCGTGTCTTCATACATGTACTTAGAGTAATGATGTCCATCTCATTCCACCATCTTTTTTACCCCCATGTCCCCCTCCCTTCCCTCCTACCTCTTTGCCTTATCTAGAGTTCGTCTAATCCTCCCATGCTCCCCCTCCAAACCCCATTATGAATCAGCCTCCTTATATCAGAGAAAACATTCAGCATTTGGTTTTTTGGGATTGGCAAACTTCACTTAGTATTATATTCTCCAACTCTATCCATTTGCCTGCAAATGCCATGATTTTATTCTCTTTTAATGCTGAATAGTATTCCATTGTGTGTGTGTGTGTGTGTATGTGTGTGTGTGTGTGTATATATATATATATATATATATATATATATATATATATATATATATATATATATATATATATATCTCACATTTTCTTTATCCATTCCTCTACTGAAGGGCATCTAAGTTGGTTCCACAGTTTAGTTATTGTGAATTGTGCTGCTATAAATATTGATGTGGCTTTGTCTCTATAGTATGTCTCAGCTTCTAAAGGTGGGATTCTTCCTAAATAAAATACATTATGTGATGGAAGGCTCCAACCCATGTAGGAGTAGGATAGCTGGGTTAAATGGTGGTTCCATACCCACCTTTCTAAGGAATCTTAAAATGGTGAATTTCAGTATAATAAAAAAGGAAGACATAGTAAAAATCATTCTTCAGATTCTACAGAGTATAAAATTTCCACTCAAAATCAACTGGCTGGTCCAAGGCTCACACAAACATTAAATGGCAGAGCTGGGCCTCAACCTAGGTCTTCTGAATCTAAAGTCAGAGCTCCTTCCTTCATAGTTCACTGGCTTCCAGCTCCTCAACCCTCTCCTCCGTCTTCCCCATGGCCCTCCCTAGTGAACACATTCACACCACCCAACTTCTCCGTTGAGCTAGGTGGTCAGCAATTCTAACACAGAACCTATCCAACATTCCAAGAGTAAATTTTAAGAAGTTAATAGCATTTATGCCATCATTACTATATTTACTGTGCCCTAAACCAAGACAGAAGAGAAAAGTGCCTCATGAAGAAAACAAAGAGAAAATGTCCCTTGGCCCCTTGTGTATAGAACTCCAACAGGAAGTTCCCCAGCCAGAGGAAGGGTATCTCACTCACTGTGTATCTGGCTTTCCAGACAGGCACCTGGCAAGGGAGAATATTGAGGTATTTCCGAGGTTGGCGGTAATCCCAGAACTAGAAGAAAAAAAGATAATTTATGAAATAAATGCCATTTTAAAAACTCCAAACTCATTGCTTTTTATCCTCCAAAGAAACATCTCAATAGTGTATTTTTAGTTCCTCCCCCATAAATATGCTGCTGTGAGAGACATGAAGAATCTCCCTTTTACATTTATAAACATTACAGAAGAATTTCTGGACTTCACCAGGACCACCAGTCGGGGCAGATCATTGTCAGGCAATCTGCCTATTAAATGACCTTTGTAGCTGAAAGGTTAGAGTGACAGATTTTGATCCTATATTGCTTTTATACAATGTAAGTAATTTAATAATAATAGCTGAAATGCCCTACTTATAGCATTTCAGATATATATTTAAAACTTTTAAGTTTTTGATCCCATTTAATCTTTATAACAACTGTAGAACAGATGTTCTTAATCCCTTTTTCAAATTTAGAATTGGATGGTTTCTGGTTCCTGAACTTGGGAGATAAGCTGATGGGGATGAGGGACAAAACCCCCAATACAACAAACAAACAAAACCAAACAAGCAACTTCTGGCATATGAGAATAAATTACAGCCAGATGCAGGGACACAACACCTGCAATTTCAGCTACTGGGGAGGCTGAGGCAGGAGGCTCACAAGTATAAGACAAGCCTGGGCAACTTGGAGAGACCTTGTCACAAAAATAAAAAATATAAAAAGCCTAGGGCTGTAGCTCAGTGGTAGAGAGTGCCTGCCTAGCAGACACAAATCCCTGGGCTCAATCCCCAGTAGCAGGAAAACAAACAAACAAACAAAAAAAAACTATTAGAACTCCAGGGGAATTATAAACTTTAATACAGAACGTTTTTTAGTTATAGATGGACACAATATGTTTATTTTATTTTTATGTGGTGCTGAGGATTGAACTGGTGCCTCATGCATGCTAGGCAAGAGCTCCACCTCTGGGCCACACCCCAGCCCCAGAAATTAACTTTTAAGCCTTATGCATTACTCCAGTTTTGCTAACCATACTGAAAGACACTGTGCATAGCTGTGTGAACAGAGCATTAAATTAAAGATGCTGAATCAAGCAATTGCTAAACTAACTTGGTTGGTTAAATCCCTGGCCTGCCACTTTCTGATTAAGGGTACACAGCACATGCCATAGCAGGGAAAGGAAAATAAGAAACACTGTGCTCTGACATAAATCATAACTGGGTCATTGAAATGTGTAAAACCTTGAGCATTTCCTGTAAGTTAGAGAATACCTAGCGAAACAACTCCATCTCTGACTTTTGCAATGCTGATGTCTGAAATGTCATCACTTTTGCAGATTTGATAATCAGAGGAGAAAACTGCTATGTTTCCACGCTGAACAGACTGATCGTAAACTTGGCAACCTTAACAATTTTGCGGGCTTTTCTCCTTTACTTAGATCTATGTATATCTGACTTCTTCGCAAGTAAACTTCTTTCACTTTCTAAATGCTCTGATCTCTAACTTACTTTCACAGAGGAAAAGAAAATCTTCTGAACAAATTCTCAGAGGCATCTCAGGCAGATGCCACAGCATCACTCCTGCAGGTTGTTACAATCCGGTTTACTTGAGTGGCTCTTCAAGAGGTACTTGCACCATGAAGCACACAGAGAATGCTCTAGCATACCTATAGCTTTTCCTCCGGAATGCTGTCACACATCTGTGACACCTCCCAAACACAGCTCCTCCAACCACCCCCCAGTAACGCACTCACCTTGACAGAGTTGTCTTGACTGGAGGTAGCGAGAATGTGCTCACTGTCTGGATGCCAGTCCAGGCCGTGGATTTTGGAGAGGTGGGCTGCTAGATATTCTACTGCTGTACTGGGTTTCTGCAACAGATTGGCACTGAGTTTGTCAGTTTAGGAAGAACTCATTGAGTGTCTACCATGTGACAGTGTTTTGGTTGCTGAGTGGGGTAAAAAATACTGCCAGATACTGTCTCTGCCCCTTGGAAACTCCATTTTCTTTCATTCAAGCAAAACAAATCAAAGAAAATAAAGGACTTATCTGGCTGTCCTTCACATGCTGCCAGCCTAATTCTATGATCCAGCCTGAGACATGATTTTTAAGAAAAATACAGGTAGTAGGTGTTCTTTACCCAGGACAGTGGAATCTGCCTACTCCTACTCCCCTTCCTCACAGTCACCGACCAAGAGGGGCTGTGGCATGAAAGAGACCCAACTTCAACCATGAGGGTGAAATCATCAGGTACTAAGATCTCAAACAGAATGAATACACACAGAAAAAACATTGATCAGCATAATAAATGAACCAACTCAGAAAGAAACCTCAGAAATGTACATTAAAGCAAGATTTTTTAAACTATTAAATTAGAAGATGTTTTTAAATAATATTCAATGCCATTGAGGCTGCATCTATCACCACTGATGAATGTATAAAATAGTATAATATTTTTTGGAAAAAAATTCAGCAAATTTATCCTGAGACTTAAATTTTTCCTTTCTTAGGTGAATAATCCCAATTCACAAAAACCTTTACATCTAAAGATGTTCATCTTAATAAAATAATAATAATATTGGTATTATTTAGAACACTAGAACACCAGAAACCACCTAAACATCGTAAGTGAGAAATAATTAATTAAATCAATTATACTATAGCTTTGTGATAGGCTACGATATAGCTGCTAAAGATACTTAGAGCTTATAATATGGAGAAAATGCATCAGTTATAATGTTAAGTGAAAAAAGTACACACAACTATATACACAATATGATAAACTATGTTTTTAAAAACGTATAGGAAAAAAAACCAAACTATTAGCATTTGTATTGGGACAGTAAGAGTATGAATGATTTTTTTTTTCTTTTTATTTCCCCTACAAGGAACATATATCACTTCTATAACAGGCATCAGTCTGTAAGTTAAGAGTACAGAGTCCAGGTGCAAACTAAGTTCAAGTCCTAGCAACAAACGGTGCCTCAGTTTATCCTTCTGTGAACAAGGATCAAAACAGTCCCTATTGGAAAATCTAATTACAAAGAGAACTTAATCCACACACGTGACTCTCTTAGAACAATGCTGATGCCCAAGAAATGCTTACTAAACATTAGTGCTATTAGTCACATGTGAGCCTGGGTGGAAATCCAATGTCACTTTTTAGGCCTCTGATGGTGGCTGTCATCAGTGCTGCTTTGACACTAGAAAGTGCCAGAGAAGTGAAAATACAATCACAAGTTTAAAACTCACCTGAGCAAGAAGTTCTTAGTATCAACAGGAAAATAAAAGCAAACTAAAATCCTTTCAACAAAATAGATAAAAAGGCAGAGAGAAGTTGGTGACATTAGTGGACCAATTAGGAAACTAGAAAGAAATACTAACAGGCTATTATTTTAAGATAAGGAAAACATACTGCCAGAGTTCAGGGTGAAATGCAAAATTGCTTACATTTGTCTATGGCTCTGGAACCAACCTAAGGCAAATATAAAGCACTGCGGGTTAACCAGATGTATTCTATATAGATCATTTCTGACAAATGACAAACTGAATAAAACCAATCACCAATTTAAGAAACAAAGTGGGGGCTGGGGTTGTGGCTCAGCGGTAGAGCACTCGCCTAGCACCTGTGAGGTGCTGGGTTTGATCCTCAGCACCACATTAAAAAAAGATAAAAAATAAAACAAAGGTATTATGTCTGACTACAACTAAAAAAATTTAAAAAAACAAAAAAAGAAAAGGAAAGGAAAGAAACAAAGGGGAAAGTGGACCTTACCAACCTACACAAACAGAAGAAAGAAACTACCACACTGAAGATGCCCTGTGCAAGCCCTATATAATCACCTTCTTTCCTAAGAGCTGGCTAAGGCAGGGGCTTCAGGCAGCAGGTCCTGGAGCCTAATCCAATAGACAGGAAGGATCTGCCATACACAGTCTCAGCTTCACTTCCTCTTCTCTTCCAAATGTACCCTGTGTGGCCAGAAGTGATGCTGAGACTTTACAGTCAGCACCTGTTTGGGACATCAATGAAAAGCCCTCCACACAAATTCCTGAGGATCCCTAGCCTCAAGATTCACAAAGCAGGAGATGGTGCTTACATCCCAGGTCTTAAAAAGCTGACCCCTCTATAATCTATCTGGCATAAGATGTGGGGGAGCCCTTTCCCATATCATATTCTCAACAATGCCAACATAGGAAACTTTCCACTGACTTCCAATTACACCCAGGGCCCTATTGGTGCATGCGCAGAGTTCATGGCAGTGGGAATATGTGATCAACCTGAAGGTTATTTTGAGACTGGTGAGCTATCTAGGCTTCTAGGGGCATGGTATTTGAGTATAAAGTTCCCTGCCTCAGTGACCTATACTGAAGTATTCAGATGGTCTACACCCTGGAGTTAATGGTTTCCACTTGGCAAACGGGCATGGATCCGAAGCCTACTGATAGCAGAAGTAAGAACAATGTTGGGTCCCCAGGGCTTGACCTCAATGATACACCAACTATTATCTTTACTTGGAAGATAAAGACACTTAGTGAGGTTGTGGTGACTTGCCTAATGTCCTAATGAGGAGCCGCACAATAGGCTCTAACATAGGTCAGCCAAGTTCATTGTCTTAACCTCTGTTCGTAATCCCCACTCCCCAACCTTCTTTCAACATCAGTTTAATTGAGAAGCAAATGCTATCTGGTACTATGAGTTTAAAATGACAATGTGTCATGCCACAGAGACCCCCAGACTGCTAAGACAAGCCCTGGACTCATAACATCCTCTCCACACTCTCTGGGAGAGACTAAAGACCAACGACGGGGTAAAAGGTTACTCACCCGCTTATCCCATATCCGTACATCACCGTCATGGCTGGTGGCAAGGCAGTTTGCATTTTTTTTATTCCATTTGACCTGGGAAGCACCAGCTGCAAAGAAAACCAGGAGAAGAAAGCTGCTGCCCTCACTGCTTTCTGAAGCAGAATGAAGCCGATCCAGGGGAGGGGGACAATGAGCTCTGGTCAATGAACACAAAAATCCTTCCAATTCCTAGACTACACCAGCTCCACCGTTACAGATAAAAAGGAGCCAAAAGGGAGTGAATTAGCATACTAAAAACAGGATCGGAGTCACTTAATCAAGGAAATAATTCCAGAAAAAATTCGCAGGTTACTCTAAGCAAGGAGGAAAATCTAGCTTCTTAGGGGACCAGCAGTTGAGTACTGGCTAAGCCTAGCATTGGTTGGTACCTGACCCCTCCTTGTCCCCAGCACACCAGACAGCCTCAGCTCTGTGTTGGCTCTGTCCCACCCATAGTCATAGTTGTTGTTTTTGAGGGACAGTCTTAAAAAACAGTCTCAAGCCAAAGCTCAGCTGAAGAGTCAGCCCCAGAGTGGTCCGACTCTGCCCTCAGAGGTCCGGTGCTCCCGTGGACTCTCATCTCTCCATCGGCAGTTAGAGAGGCTATTTGGCACTGGGCTTGTGGGGTCAGGATGGTGTGAAAACTCAGTCCCTTTCCCTCTGAGCCAATCCAGAGAGGCAAGAACAGTGTCAAAAGAGAACCTAAGACAGGTCCTAAGAGATGCCAGGCAGGGCTGAGACAGGGCAAACTGGGACACAGTGACACTTCTAGCTAAGTCCTATAAAATGAATCGAGTTCTTCAAGTCAAACCAGCCCCATGCTGCTGGCCCTCCTTCCTGCCTCTTCTCATCCGTGCCCACACCACAGCTGACAGGACACGGGTGCCACCTTTCCCTGAGGAGACCCCATAGGTGCAGGGCTTTGAGCACGACTTGATCCAAGAAGCCCAGGCAGCGAGCACCAGAACCTAACAGGACAGAGTGAAGGCCAGAGCCTGTCCTTGCCCACTGATACCTTGTGGTGGGTCTGGAAAGTGTTCGTTTGTCTTGTTTGTTCTTTTCTTCCCCTGCACCACCCACTCCCCCATTGTTTTGTTGTTATTTTTGCTTCACTAAGGAATTCTTAATCTTTATTTTTTGGGTACTGGGATTGAACCCAGGGGAACTTTACCACTAAGCTTTATCCCTAGTCCTTTTTAACCAGTATTATTTTTTTGAGACAGAGTCTCACTTAGTTGCTGAGACTGATCTTTCTTTCAGTATTTTTTTAAAAACTTTTTTTAAAAAGATATTTATTTTTTAGTTTTACGTGGACACAATATCTTTATTTTACATTTATGTGGTGCTTAGGATCGAACTCAGTGGCTCAAGCATGCTAGGTGAGCAGTCTACCACTGAGCCACAACCCCCGCCCCCCACCCCAAACTGATCTTGAACTTGTGATCCTCCTGCCTCAGCCTCCCCAGTCGATAGGATTACAGGTGTGCAATACCTCACCCAGCTTAATTTATTTTTAACTATACATATTTATGGGGTACATGTGGTAATTTGATATATCCATACAATGTATAATGATCAAATCAGGGCAATCAAATTTCCCTCTCCTTGATCATTTCTCTTTTCTTTGTGATGGAGATTTTCAAATACCTCTGGTTCTAGTTCTTTATAAAACACAAATAAACGGTTGTAAACTACAGTCTCCCTACCATGATACAAAACAGTAGAACTCATTCCTCCTTTTTAACTAGGTTCTGTTACACAACCCCCTTTTGTCCTCCTGCTCCCCAATTTGTCTTGTTTTCTCTCAAGACAGAGGGCACCCTAAGTTGGTAAGAATAAAAGCTGGAGAACACTGAAGATGTGGTACATTATGTAGGAGATTCAGTTTCTTTGCAAGAAAGGGCACAGCTAGAGGAAGAACAGCAAGAAGAGTTTGCTCCATTTCCTCTAGACAATTACTTACACCATAATGAATATGCCTTTCCCAGTGGGGTCCTGTCAGAGCACAAAGGCTTCCAAAGGGTTCTGGGAACCCCCAATCCAACCTGCTTTATTAGGATCACACAGAGCAGGGAACTGTTGTAAACTACAGTCACCCTACCATGATCCAAAACAGTAGAACCTATTCCTCCTGTTTAACTGGAGCACACAGAGACATGCTCTTACTGACCCCCCAAAGGGCATCAACACTGACAGACAGGAACCACAGACCCCGGGGAGCAGGTGCTAGCCAAGCCTGCACCTCTTGGGGAATGTTAAATGGAGCAGCTTGTAAGGATTCACAAGCCTATCATTTGCTTTTTCTCCCAGCGTAGTTCTGGCACCACTGAGAAACCTCATTGAGGTACAAAAAAGGAGAGGAATCTCCTACCTCTATTTTTTGGAACCTAGAACAAAAAGAAAACAATCAGAACAAGGGGGCTGAAATAAACGACTCATTTCTTAGGGTTTCTCTAAAACCGATCTAGAAATCTGTAGGTGTAAGTAACAAAGTGAGGGGAATGTGACTTAAGCATTTACAGACCATTCGTATTTTTATTCAGTTGTATGTCTTTGGCAGCCAACCTTTGTCTCAGATAAGAGCCCAGAGTCGGTGATCAGATTCGCAGAGCCTTAAGCACCTAACACAGCTCAGGTGCTTGATTCCTGTGTCTATCTGTGCAAAGTGTTTTTTCTCTTCTTTTTTTGCAGTACTAGGGATTGAACCCAGGGATGCTCTACCACTGATTACACCCAGCCCTTTTTACTTTATTTTTGGGACAGGGTTTAAGTTGCCCAGGCTGGCCTCAAACTTGAGATCCTTCTGCCTCAGCCTTCCCAGTAGTTGGGATTACAGGCGTGCACCACCACTCCTGGCTAACGCCATTTATTAAGCATCTCCTTGGCCAGGCCTGTAATGCAAATATAGGCGCCAAGAGGTTAGGGACCGTGTCTGTGATAGCATGTGTATATACCACAGATGGTACATAACACAGGTCAGCTGGATAGCAGCTTAAGCACAATCAGGGTGGTAAAAGTGTAAATACTTGGATGTGAGGGCACAGAGGACTGAAGAATCATGTAACCATTTTAGAACAAACACCAAATGCGTATTCAGGTGTATCAAGAAGATGCAAAGGAACAGGATTTAACAGATAGAAAATATATGATTTTATCAAGGGTTCCAAAATACTGATGACTGGACTTCACCACTGTAAGTTATGCCAGTTTCAAACCCACATTCTTCTCTGGGAAGTGGGGGGAATATTCCCCCCAGCACAGCTGAGAGTTCCAAAAATAGCTCCAACTAAGCAACGAAAACAGGTAGATCAGAAAGTGATTTCAAAGACTCAATTCATCCATGTCAAATGATACCGTGGGGACATAATCAGCGTAAATCTAGATTGTAGAGAAAGCACAAGACAACCTGGTTTCTTCAAATAAGTAGACTGTGCAGGAAAAGAACAAACAAACCCAAACAGGAGAGGGAGACTAAAAAAGATGAGAAAAGTATCAACTACTTGGAAGTTCAGACTTTATTTTAATTCTGACTCAGTTTTTGTTTGTTTGTTTTTTAAGAAAGAGAAATGGGCAGGGCACAGGGGCACACACCTGTAATCCAGCAACTTGGGAGGCTGAGACAGGAGGACTGAAAGTTCAAGGCCAGCCTCAGCAATTTAGCAAGGCCCTAAGCAAATTAGCGAGACTCTGTCTCAAAATACAAAATAAGAAGGATTGGGGATGTGACTCAGCGGTAGAGTGCCATTGAGTTCAATCCAAAGTATCAAAAAAAAAAAAGAGTGAGAGCAAGAGCAGGGGTGGGGGGGCCTAGGGGTGTAGGTCAGTAGCACAGTGTGCTTAGCATGCACAGAGCCCTGGGTTTGATCCCCAGCACCAGTTTTTAAAAAAAAAGAGAGACACAGATACTACTGGGAAATTCAGAAAGAGACCACTGGGGAAATCTGAATACTTCTTAGATATCTGAAGATACTAAGGAGCCATTATTAATATTTTAGGTATGTTAATGGTACAGTGATTACTTTCTTTTTTAGGGATTTTCTTTTATAATACATAATATGTGTTGAAGAAATGACACAACACCTAAGCCTTGCTCAAAATAATCACAAAGGAATGAGGGCAGTGGGGGAGGCAGTGGATAGAGGTAAAGATGAAAGGAGACTGGATGTTTGATGACAATCACTGAAGCCCCAAGGGTGGGGGGAGGGGAAGGGGAGGGGGAGCGGGAGGGGGAGGGGGAGGGGAGGGCTAAGGTAGGGTAGGGTTAGGGTTAGGGTTCGGAGCAACGTGAGCAAAGCAAGCACCTTGCAACATGGGACTTGCAATTTTACCCAGCAGGGCGTAGGACATGAGTGGTCAGACCACGAGGAGCAATGAAATGGCCAGGAGTGGGAAGCACTGGGATGAAGGCACACCAGGGATGACACACTCACCTACAGCAGAGAGTGCAACAGTGGGTTTCCTTGTGTCTCTGAAACACAAAAATCGGAAGTCAAATGCCCAATTCATATGCCCCCAGCGACCTGGTACTTTTCACTCTCTGCACATACTTTCTTCACTTTACTCTCCCAGAAACCTGGAGTTAGATCTGCTGAGAGGGCCTTAAAAAGACATGTAAAGAGAAACCTGTTTTCCCTCAAGGTAGAAGGTAGGTGAACTTTCTCAGCCACTATAATGGAGGCTGAGTTTGAATTTCAAATCACACAGTTAAATCCACAGAAAAGATCACATGACTCAGGATGGCCTAGGTAGCCCCAATGTGGCAGGAGAGGAAGCCAAAAAATCCCCTCCTGGGGTCATTACTGCCATGGCAACGTGTGACAGGGCAGTGTAATCCAAGAACCTTCCCAACAGCATTTCAAAGGTGGATTATAAAACTTCTCTGAGTGCCCAGCACGGTGGTGCACACCTTTAATCCCAGTGGCTGGGGAGGCTGAAGCAGGAGGATCACAAGTTCAAAGCCAGGCTCAGCAACTTAGCAAGGCCCTAAGCAACTTAGTGCTTAAAACTAAAAATAAAAAGGCCTGGGGATTTTGCTCAGTGTTTAAGCACAAAAAACCTGGTGGAATGAGATGGACATCATTACCCTAAGTACACGAATGAAAAAACAAATGGCGTGCCTCTACTTTGTCTACAACCAGAGATATGAAAAAGTGTGCTCTACATGTGTAATATAAATTGTGATGCATTCTGCTGACACATATAACAAATTAAAATTTTTAAAAAATAGAATCTTAAAAAAAAAAACAACAAAGAAACAACCTTATTTGGTTGTTCCTAATAGCCATGGGGCAAAAGGAATAGACAAAATGTGGTATGTCCATACAATGGAATATTATTCACCTTTAAAAATGAAGGAAATTCTGGCATATGTCATAAAATAGATGAACCTCAAAGACATTATGTAAGTAAAACAAGCCATCGACAAAAAGATGAATCTGGATGATTCTGCTCACATGAAGTAATTACAGCTGTCAAAGTTTGCTTAACAAAAGGTAGAGTTGTGCCAGGTGCAGAGGCACATGCCTGTAATCCCAACAGCTCGGGAAGCTGAGGCAGGAAGCAGTTCAATCCCTGGTAACCACCCCACAAAAGTAGAGTTGTTACCAGGGGCTGGGTGAAGAACAGAATGGGGAATTGTTTAATGTAGACAGACTGTCAGTTTTGCAAGAGGAAGAAGTTCTGGAGACCTGCTGCACCAACAGTGTGAATACACATAGTGCTATTACCTGTGTATTCAAAAATAGTCAAGATGATAAATTTTGCATTGTGAGTTTTTTACTGAATAAAAAAGAACTACTCTGATTGCAAGAGGAGAATTCTCAGAGAGAAACTGCACAGTTGACTATGAAGTCAGAGGGGTGCTGGGCATGGTGGCACATGCCTGTAACCCTAGCAACTGGGGAGGCTGAGGCAGGAGGACCACAAGTTCCAGGCCAGCCCGGGCAACTTAGCAAGACCCTGCCTCAAAGAAAAATTAGAAACAACCGGGGATGTAGCTTGGTAGTAGGGTACCCCTGGGTTCAATCCCCAGTACTACAAAAAAAAAAAAAAAAAGAAGAAATCCAAGGGGCATCTTCTCCAGCAGTGGCACCCTGGGGCCAAGGAGGCCAGTGAAGGCAAATCTGCAGCTCTGGTTTACTGTTTAGAAAACCTGAGGAAGAATGTGAGCTCAGTACCTTTACTTACATCATGAAAAGACCCATTTTGTGTGAAGGAGGTGCACTCCACTCCCGCCCACAGCTCCCTGAGGACCCATTTAGAGCTTCCACCTTCCACTTGCCCTGGACTCAGCGTGTCTCCTCTGGCACTGCCCTTAGACCAAAGAGCGCCACGGGGCTCATGTATCTGCACAGTCAAGTCGGACGCACGCACCTCACTCCCGCAGAGCCACTTTGCTGGTCTAGCCGGTCAGTTCCACCCCAATACCTGGCTGATCTTCTGCCTACAGTCCAAGCCTCTGTAGCTTGGTAGTAGTCCAAAGTTACCACCAGGTGGGAAGCAGAGCACCCTGGCTAGGGGAGAGGGACCCTACAGATTGCTTCCTCAGAGCAACCAGCTCTAACCATATGACAAAGGGGCACTGTTCTACTTGTTGGGTTTTTTGTTGTTGTTGTTGAAACATTGTTTTAAATATTTGTTTTTTAGTTATAGGTAGACACAATACCTTTATTTTATTTTATGTGGTGCTGAGGATCAAACCCAGTGCCTCACGCATGCTAGACGAGTGCTCTATCTCTGAGCCACCACCCCAGCACCTCTATTTTTGAGACAGGGACTTGCTATGTGACCCAGGCTGGGCTCAGTCTCACTATCCTCCTGAGTCTCACCTCAGGCTCCTGAGTACCTTGGATTACAGGTGTGTGCCACCAAGCCTGGCAGGAACATCGTTCTTTTGATGTGCCAAGCCAGGGGTGGGAGCTCCTTTACTCCTTATGCCATGAGGTAGAACCCTGGGAGGTGTCCCTTAGGCCCCATTTGACAGACGTGGAGATGAAGCCTCACAAACAACTAGTGAGGAGCTGAGCAGATGTGTGGCAGTGCCCGTCATCATCCCCTCCATCACCTGTCCACTTCAGTGAACCCCAGCTCGACTTCCAAATGCAGCACCTGTGTTGCTTTGCCAAGGGAACTGCCCTGGCTGCTGCAGCTTGCTCTGAAGAACTCTGACAGGCCTGAGTGCCAGGGAACTCAGACCCCCGGGGGGCAGCCTTCCCGATGACTGCAGAATCAAACATGCTTCCTAGGCCCTTGGTGGGAAACTTCTGAGGAGGTATTCTGCAGCAGCACCAAGCACCCCCAGTGATTATACCCTACCTGTTCATGCTGGCATCCAGAGGAGGGTGCTCCCTGGCTTACCAGTCTTCCCCACCTGCCTCTCTCTTCTCCATCCCCTGCCTACCCCTCTGTCATCTCCAATGTCATATACTTGAACCCAAATCCTTGTTTCAGGATCTGCATCTAGAGGAAACCAAACTAAGACATAATCTCTGAAATGAAGGTTCCCAATAATCCCACAAACAAGTGATTAAACCTCCTCATTGTTCTTACTTGATATCCCAAATGTAGATGTAGGTGTCCACCGAGCTGGTGACCAGGAGATCTGGTTCAAACACTGCCCAGTCCAAGTCGCTAGGAGAGAAGAAATAAACAGAACAAAAAAAGAAAGAAAAAAGCTTCAGTTCCAAAGCACTAGTAAATCTAGTTTTCAGTGGTTTTGAATGTCACCATTAATGGGCTTCTCACTGCAGCTCAGGCTGGAGATCTCCAAAGTTGTCTATGAATGAGCAAGAGTTAAACGAGCTCCGAAGGAAACATTCGGGTCCTTCTCTCTGTGGTTGCCAACTACTCTACCACCTGCTCCCAGAAAATAAATGGAGCATGGCAACTTAAAACAGACTCTCTGAATAAGTAGACACAGACAAAACACAGGGAAATCACATGAAGTAATCTTTGATTACCATTTTCTTTTTCTTTTTTTTTAGTTGTAGATGGACATAAAATCTTTATTTTCTTTATTTTTATGTTGTGCTGAGGATCAAACCCAGTGCCTCACACATGCCAGGCAAGCACTCTACTGCTGAGCCCCAACCCCAGTCCCTTGATTACCATTTTCTAAGTAAGACTCAACCACGGGTACCTTGGGTAACCCACCTCTCCTAAGCGGGGTGAACAGCCATGTTCCCACACCGCCTTCCAGGAGGGCTGGCAGCCCTGGGGCTCCCTACTTGAACCCTCAGCCCCAGGAAGGTGGTTACTCCACAGAACGCCTCATACTAGTGCCCTCACTTCCAGATCAGTTTCGCTCCCCCTGAACTCCTTGACGCTACTCCCTAGAAAAAGTTTCTCCTACCCAGAAACAGCTGCCCAGGGAAAGAGAGGCTCAAGAACACTCTGGAAGGTCCTAAGTGGGAGGCAACTGTGCATGTGGATAGCAGACCGGGGTACAGGAGCCGACTGTAATGACCACAGTTGCTGGAAAAGGCAAGGGCCAACGTTGCTTGCTGGTGTCTCCACACACTCAGGGCACGGTAGATCCTGCCCTGGGGATTCTACTACATACCTCCCCTGCCTCCTCTGGCAAACAGCAGCCCTAATCCTTACTCTGGATGGGGCTGAATTAAGTCTTCCAGGATTTGGGTCAACAGCTACATAGGTGACGCTTCCTAAATATTGATTGTCCTTGGTTTCTTCTCGAGCACCTTGGTGAATACTTGGCCCCAGGGCCAGTGCAACACACAGGGTCAAGCCATGCAAGGGGGATAGCATCTTCATTTCACTAACCGAAGTAAGACAGGCCAAGGCACTGTGGAGGGCTGGTGCCTACCTGATGACGCGCGTATGGCCCTGTAAGGTTGTGCCAACTTCCCCAGTGCCATCTTTCCACTTATAAAGGTCCACCCGTTGGTTACTCTGAAAAGAAATAAGGAAGAGAAGGCTGTGGGTAGCACAACATACCACTGGAATATAGGTTCTCACCCCAATGCTTAAGGCAAGAAGAGGTGGCCAACTGGCAGAGATCCATAGGTTGAACTTCCTAAAAAGCCAAAAGAAATCAGTATAATAAACATTAGCTTGAACAAGCCTCAGCTAGTACATAGAGCTATGAATTTCAAAATGGAATTGCATCATACTGATGTCTCCATGCACCCTGGGCACTGCCAAGCTCAAACAGGAAGAGCACCCATCCTGAACAGTCACAGTGGACCTGAAGCTGGAGATGGGCTCCTGAGCATGTGCCTCATGGGCCACAGAGACAGCCCAGACCACTAAAGGAACCTCCTCCCCCCCTCAGAAGGTCACACACTTGACTCCCCAACTACTGTCACAGCGGATGTTTTCAGCTTACCCTTCCCACACCAAATGCCCAGAGTCCACCTACCTCACTTTAAAAACACAGATACATGCCAGGCATGGTGGCACGTGCCTGTAATCCCAGCAGCAGGAGGCAGGAGGACTGTAAGTTTGAGGCCAGCTGCAGTAACTAAGCGAGGCCCTAAGCAACTTAGCAAGACTCTGTCTCAAAATCAAAAATAAAAAGGGCTGGGAATGCAGCCCAGAATAAAATGCCCCTGGGTTCAATTTCTACTACCGAAAACACACACAAACACACAGAGATACAAGAAAGAAAAAAAGAAACACCATCAAAAGGACATGCAAGAAGGCAAAATTATACACAAGACTCCCTGAAACATGCCTAACACAAATTTCATTGAGGGTTAAAGAGAAAGAGACAAGGAAAATGGACCAGAAGAAACTCAACTAAAAACGGGGAAGAAAATTAAAGGCTCTATCAAAGTACATTTCATTTAAAAGAAACAGCAGAACAGTTCCCTAAATACTGTGCACTTAAACTCAAAGAGGATAAAGACACCAACAGACTGAGAACAATGGCAGGCCATGGAATACTTTCTGAACTGATAAATATAATAGACTAATTTTCATTTTAGCTCAGAGGCAGACAGTTAAATTAAGTTCTGAGATTTTTATTCTGAAATGCCAGTTTCCAAATCTAAACAGGTAAGGTTCTTATGAAAAGGTTAGGATTCAAAATAGCTTTCCATGGGAACAGAATGAAAAGTTCCCTCATCCTATAACATTCCTGCTATTTCCAGAGGGTCTGTCAGTTCTCATCCAGGTACAAGGCACCTTATCCAATCTGACCTTTCTCACCTCCCTGCAAGGTGAGTATCATCATCCAAGTACACATGATGCAACCAAGGCTTAGAAAGTTGAGTGGCTTGCTCAAGAAAAAAGAGTTCAAACTAGGCCTCGACTCCAGATCTGCCCAATTCTAAAGCTCTTTCTCTGCAAGAAGCTGCCTTCCAACCAAGAACAATGACAGAAAAAATAAATAAATAAACTGAACTTCATCAAAATTAAAACTTTTGTGCATCAAAGGACATTATCAAGAGAGTGAAAAAACAGCCAGGCATGGTGGCACATGCCTGTAATTCCAGCAGCTTGGGAGGCTGAGACAGGAGGATCACAAATTCAAAACCAGCCTCAACAACGGTGAGGCACTAAGCAACTCAGTGAGACCCTGTCTCTAAATAAAATACAAAATAGGGCTAGGGATGTGGCTCAGTAGTTGAGTGCCCCTGAGTTCAATCCCCAGTACCACCCCCCCCACACACACAAAAAAAAGAGAAAGTGAAAAAAACAATATTTCTTTGACAAATATTTTGGAGAAACTATTTGCATCACATAGATGATAAAGGTCTAGCATCCTGAATATACAAAGAACTCTTACAACTCAACAGCAAAAGTACAAACAACCCGATTCAGAAATGGGCAAAGGAAAAAAAAATTGGGTATAGGGACTAAAGTTGTTACTCCATGGTACAGCACCTGCCTAGCATACCGAAGGCCCTAGGTTTAATCCCCAGTTGTGTTTAAAAAAAAAAAAAAAAAAATGGGGCTGGGGTGTTGCTCAGAGCCCTGGGTTCAATCTCTAACACAGCAAAAACAAACAAGAAACCCAAAACCCAACCAAACCAAAAAGGGCAAAGGACCAGAAAAGACACTTCTTCAAAAATAAAAGGTACATAAATGGCCAATAGGCACATGCAAAGATGCTTAACATCATCAGTCATTAGAGAAATGTAAATCAAAAAAACAAAATAAGGGACCACTTCATACCCACTAGGAATGACAACAATTTAAATTAAACAACAAATGTTGGTGAGAATATAGAAAAGCTGGAAACCCTATGCATTGCCAATGGGAATACAAAACAGATGAGCCACTGTGAGACACAGTTTGGTAGTTCCCTCAAAAAGTTATAATCAGGGCTGGGGTTGTGGCTCAGCAGTAGAGCACTCACCTAGCACGTGCAAGGCCCTGGGTTCGATCCTCAGCACCACATAAAAATAAATAAATAAAATAAAGGTATCATGTCCAACTACAACTAAAAAATAAACTTTTTAAAAAAAAGTTATAACCATATGACCCTGTAATTCTACTCCCGAGCACAGGTTCAGAACTGAAAACAAGTACATCCACACACATGTTCAGATGGGCACTATTCAGAAGAGCCAGCAAAGAACAATGGTGTAGAATCTGGAGAAAGATGCCAGAGCTGTTGGATCCCAGGATCTTTTAGGATCATAAATTTCTCAGAAAACCTATTAAGACTTACGTATGTTTTCCCTGGGAAAATTCACACATAAGGAAGCATGCAGATTCCACGAGGTCAATCAATCTAATGAATCTCAATCAAGAAGCCCCTCCTCTGAGGGGAAGGGTGTAGGGAGTCTCCTGCTCCCTCTGAGAGTGATGGGAGCAGAGCCCAGGCCCGCTCCCCAGGTACCCTCTTTAAACATCTTCCAGTCATCTGCCATCTGGCCACTGGATGTTACCCTGCTGCTAATGAAAATGCGTTCTCACCACACACAGAAATGAAGGCAACCACTTGCTTCCCTTTCAAAATCTAGATTCAGGCTCTAGAAATACAAGGCCTGACACCAATGAAACCATCAAACAAACATATAATATACATGTACACACATGTGTAATGCATACACATTGATATACATGTACACACATTTGTAATATATATGTATATTTATTTATTTTTAACTTGCCACTTGCCTCTTTCTTGCAGAGCCATTCAAATCTCTTTTCTGACTGAGCAATGAGAATTATACTTTCTTTTCTACACAGGACACAAACCTGCTAGCCCAAGATGACACATGTAAAAGATGACATTCTCAAAGTGAACTTACCGAAGCTGCAAAATAATGCGCGAAGCTGTCATGAGGATTCCACTGCACAGCTCCGATGTCCCATTTGCTCTGACGAGAGATTTTCCGGTGACCTTCAAAAGGAGCATCTAGATTGACGATGTACAGGAATCTGCGACTAGGAGAACAACATCAGCATTACAGCAATATAGCAACAGAGCCACACTAGCACTGAGACAGAAGAGCACACTTAGAATCACATAAGATCTGCAAACAGTGCTCCTAAAAACCCCAGATGCACATGACATTTATCTACTCTGAGAGGTATACAAGGGAAAAGAGCAACTCAAACTGGCAGTTAAGCAAAGGGAGCAGTATCTCGGTGAGTGTCTACCTCCAAAGGTGGCCTTCCCGACCATATCCACCCCTGAGAGTCTATCTGCTTGCCCTGACTTGAGCTCCAACCTGCCCTCTCCAAGCCCTCCCCAAGGCCCCAATTAGGGTCAATTACTGCTTCTCATTGTATCCTGGGACATGGGCAGCATTTACTTCTATAGCGGGACTACTAATGTGTCTGAAGTATGGATGGACCATGTCTTGAACATCTTGGTATGCTCCACATCAGTCAGCACAGTGCTCTACACTCAATAAGTGTGTGTTAAATTACACACTTCATTTATCACCTAGCTAAACCCTGCAGAAAAATCTCAAACTCCTCTGCAAGACTACTACATGGAAACTAAATTAAATCTATCAGGAAGGGAAATAAAAACCCAAGGAAAAAAAAATAACACAGTAAGTACCAATAATGTTAAAGATATCAATCAATATAAAGAATCTGAAAACAAGGATGCACTGTGTTCCTCTATTTTTCAAGTTAAAATAAAAAAAAATCTTGGTACATGAATCAACATCCCCGCAGTCATCCTCATTAGAGAGAGCTCTGTGCCCTTGGCTATCAGTAAGAACAGGTAAGCTCAAAAATAAAATGATCAGTAGCCCCTGTTCAGACAAATGGGTGGTAAAATTCTAGATGGCAAGAGAAATTCTAAAGAGCTTAAGGCAGAAGAAGGATAATGGGGAAGATACAATTTCACAAAACTTCCAGAATTTCTAAGAAAGTTAATGCAGAACAAAGATCTTGAAACTCTGGCCTCCCCCAAAGCAATCACCTACGACTGCAGTAGACAGGCTGGCTTCTTCCATTAGAAAGAAAAACAGTACAAGGACAAGAGCTCGGCACACAGGTGTATCACCAGGGAGTTCAGAGACACTAAGGAGCAAACGGAGAAAAGCAGACAGCGTGCACTTCAGATGAGCATGGCTGGTGAAACCTGGGTTTACCTTCACTCCCCTGAAGCCCCACTCAAGTAAGAGCTAAAAAGAAAGAAAGAAAAGAAACTCACAAAGGTACACAAAATGGAAAGCAGATGGACAGATGGTTAACTGATCTAGAGTAAAGAAAGCTAAATAAAGTTCAAGTGCTGGCGAGGGGAGGAGCCCGAGAAGCCATCTGGCTCACACTGCAGGACTCCTCAAGGTAAGGACAGGGGAGCACTGGGAGACAAAAAAAAAAGAACAAAATACAAGAATTGTTTGAAAGTACACTAAAGAGATAGGTTTATATGTGCCTCAAAAAGCCAGGTGAGCCACCTCTCCTTCACCCCAGGTGGAAGGTGGGTGCTGCTATTCCCTAGCCTGGGATTAGCAGCACAGCACAGCTGCTAAATTAAGGTGCTGTACTCAAAACTTGGCAATGTGAGTACGAGGCCTCCAGTCCCTTCCGTTACTGGTATGGGGCCCTCACAATGCCACCTTTTATCCTTTAGACAACACTTTTATAAAAAAAATATTTTTTTAGTTATAATTGGACACAATGCCTTTATTTTATTTATTTTTATATGGTGCTAAGGATCAAACCCAGTACCTCGTACATGCTAGACTAGTCACAACCCCAGCCCCTTTTTTGACAACACTTGTCAGGTAAAAATGACCAGTCCCCTCAAAACATAAGCAACAACAAACAACACCTTGGACATAGGGTTACCTGGGCACCCACTAACAAGAAGTCCCAGTTCCTGCCTGATCTCCCTAAAATGTGCCCACAGCCACCCACCTGGACAGCCACTCTGATCACTCTTCAGTGTGAACAGAGAGCCAATCAGCTTAGTCACTGGAGGAAACCTGAAAGAGACGAACAGTAGTGGGGAAAGGAACTCAATGAGAACAGGGGTAACATAGAGGAAAGAAAAAGCCTGGAATCAACATTCTCTGAGTTAAGAGAATATTGTAGAGTGTAGAGTACATTAAAATCATAGTTGAAGTTTTTAAGAATCTTGAAAATTTCTGAAAATTAAAATAGTTGAAATTTAAGAAAATCTGATAGAAGGAATGAATGTTAAAGTTAGAAACTCCCAGAATGCAAAGCAAAAGGACAAAAAGGTCAGAAGAGAATCCACAGAAAAGCTAATACTGACTAATAGGAACTTCAAAAGTAAGAATGAGAAAATGGAGGGGAGAAAATGATCAAAGACGTAATGCAGGAAAATTTCTTCAAATGGAAACAGAAAGACTTCCAGATCAGAAGGGTTTTCCAAGGTGCTAAAAAATATTCTGTATATCAGTCTGAATGGTATTACATGAGTGTGTATATTGGAAATTTATTTGAGCTGTTTATTTCAGATTAGTATACTCCATACTTATTTTTAAAATTTATACAGATTCTATGTATAAAATCTTACATACAATGTATAATTTTCAAATTCAGCATAAGAAAATGAAATGGAGCACTTCAAGTTCATGTTGAAAACCAATATGGATCCATACATATCTAGGATCACACTAGAACAGGGACACCTGTGTGAGTTCCAGTCACATAACTCCATCCTCTCCTAGAGAGCTAAGGATACCACTTTCCACATTAGTTGACACTGGAAAATCTAACATTTAGCTCAGTTACTCCAAGGCACTTGAGAGTGTTTTATGGGTCATTAATAGAGCAATATAATACCAAGCATGTTATGCCTCTATTGGCTTAGATAACCAATAGTGTAAAAAATGAGGGGAAAGGAGTCCTGAGTAGCCAGACGTAGACAAAGCAGTCATGATGAAAAGTTCACAAACTCCAGAGATAAAGATAGGATTTTTAAGCTTCCAAAAAGAAATATAAGTGACAAAGAGCCCAGAATCAGAATGGCACAGGACCTCTCACAATAATTGTGAGAAAAAAACCTCTCAAATACTGAATCAATCCAATGACTGTAATAGAGCTGTACTGGAAAAAGGGGGAAGGCTAGGTAGGTGTGCAAGAGTGTAGAAAAAGAACCAATCCTCATCTTCTGGTGTAAGGAGTCAATTTATAATGTTCAAGATGGATAAAGCCAGCTGGAGTCATTCATGTGCACTAACCGGGAAAACAGAGGCAACTGAAAGGCAGAGCTAGAGTCTGAGATGAGCTTCCAGCGGAACCAGGGGAAAAGTGAAGTGGAGACCACTGTTGTCTAACATAAGCTTTCTAGTGCTACACTACTATTAAAACATTTACAGGTATTTCCTTGATTTAAAAAAAAAAAAAAAACTGGTACAAAGAGTGAGTATAAAGCCAGGTGGCACACGCCTGTAATCCCAACAATTTGGGAGGCTGAGGCAGGAGGATCTCAAGTACAAAGCCAGCTGCAGCAAAAGCAAGGCACTAAGTAACTCAGTAAGACCCTGTCTCTAAAATAAAAAATATAAAACAGGGCTGGGGGTGTGGCTCAGTGGCTGAGTGCCCCCGAGTTCAATCTCAGCCCTGCAAAAAAAAAAAAAAGTGAGTATGAAATTAAAAATGTAATATACAAAAAAAACCACTAAATTACACTCTTTTAGGGGTGGGGGGTTCTGAAGATATAACCCAGAGGCACTTTACCATTGAACTAATATCCCCAGCCCTTTTGTTGTTGTTATTGTCTTTTATTTTGAGACAGGGTCTGACTAAGTTGCTTAGGGCATGGCTAAGTTGCTGAAGCTGGTCTTGAACTTGTGGTCCTTCTGCCTCAGCCCCCTGAGCCACTGGGATTATAGATATGAGCCATATGCTCAGCTAAACTATACTCTTTAAATAAGTGAATTATATGTAATTCATATTACATGTATATATTAATTATATCTTAACAAAGCTGTTTTTCAAAAACTGACCAGGAAACTAGAACTAAAAGAGAGAAATACCAATATTTCCTTATCCATGTGCCTAGATCATAAAAGAAAACAATGTCAATAATGTCTTTAGTCAGAATGTAGGAGGAAAATTTTCCATGATATATCCTTTTGAACTATTTAAATGTTTGCTATGTGCATGTGCTTTTTTAAAAAGGTAAATTAAAACAATTTCAAAATAAAACAATGAAGGTAAAAGAAAATATTTTCACTGATTTGTAAATAGGTTCATAAACAACTAAGTTAATTTAAAAAACAACTGAATTTGAGAGGTCCCTGCCCATTAAATTTTATTCTGGTACAATACCAGGGTTATTACGAAGGCAGAGATGAAACTTAATTGCCAGAATCTTCTTTTTTGAGCTTGAAAACACTACAGAAGCCTGTGTGATAGCACATGCCTACAATGCCAGCAATATAGGAGGCTAAAACTGGAGGATCGGAAGTTCATAGTTAGCCTCTGAAACTTAGCAAGACTCTATACCAAAATTAAAAAATAAAAAATAAAAAGAACTGGGGATGTAGCTCAGTGATAAATTGTCCCAGGCTTAATCCCCAGAACTGCAAAAACAACATCAATAAGAACAACAAAATCTAATAACATTACAGAATACTATGTAGTTTAATTTCTTCTTGATGGAATTGAATTCCTTCATTAGAAAACCAAAATGCAGTTAGGTCAACTGAATAAAAGTGCAGGGGTTGGGGTTGCTGGGAGTGGTGGCACACACCTATAATCCCAGCAACTCAGGAGGCTGAAGCAGGAAGATTACCAAGTTCAAAGCCAGCCTCAGCAACTCAGCAAGACTCTAAAATAAAAAAAGTTAAAAAGGGCTGGGGGGCTGGGGCTGTAGCTCAGTGGCAGAACACTTGCCTAGCCTGTGTGAGGCACTGAGTTCAATCCTTAGTACCACATAAAAATAAACAAATAAAGCAAAGGCATTCTGTCCATCTACAACTACAAAAAAAAAGGCATGGAGGGGGCTGGAGATGTGGCTTAAGGGTTGAGTGTCCCTGGGTTTAATTCCTGGTATCAAAAAAAAAAAAAAAAGTCCACAGGCTTGTGATTAGTGGCACTGCCAAAATAGAACCCAGATTCCCTCAATCCTAGTCACTACCTATCTGACCACACCAGATAGCTTTCTTGAAAAGTCTATGCAATAAACACAAAATTGCAATTTCAAGACCACTACCAGTCACTAAAATTTTGATGGAATTCTGCTGCTTACCTGTTAGGTCAGAAACAAAAATAAACGGTGAGTAAACTCTATAAGTGTCCTGTTTTCACTAGGTTGGAAGAACTAAACCCTGTGATTATAATCCTTAAATACCAGGATATTTTCCAATTTCCCAGAAACCTAACTTGCAATTTGTTCCCCAGAAATTGTGGTAGACACACTCCCAAAGCTCACTTACCCAGAAAGCACTGCATGCTGCCCAAGACAGTCCACAGACATTGCAGTTGCCTGTGAGAGAGAACAGAAATTAAGTCCCGCCAGCAGACCCCGCTCAGGTGGAGAAGGCTGGTGTTCCTTTTGAATGTGGATCTTCCTCTTCCCATCTCCCAGGCAGTCCCCAGCTAGCAAGTATCATTAGTTCTCTACAGTGGATACTTTGACTCTCTTCTAGTTCCCACCAAAGTTTCATGTTGACAACATGGCAGTTTCTATCAGTTACTAGCCCTCAGGGAGTCTGAGCAGCATGATAGTCAACAGCTACAATGCACCAAGACCCTTTCCCAAGGGGAACCTATCCTGGGACACTGGCCCCTCTGCATACACAACGCACCCAGGCCTTTCCCAAGGCCTCAAGCCACAGGGCGGCTGGTATTATTCAAATAACACCCGGCTGAATCTGCGATCATATTCTTGTTACTAAGATGCCTAGTTCATATTCAAGATGAAATTTCGAGTGCATTTTTCTGGTTTCCATTAACTAGGTCTCCAAATTCCTTCTGAGCACCAACACTGCAGGATCCAAAGCCTAATTCCCAAAAGATGGTGCTGAGTCCAGTGAATCTGCATCTAAGCTGAAACAGGAGGCTGATTTGAATCCTGGCAGTTACGGTCCTAAATTCTCTTATTGGAACAAGTTCAACTGCTGCTGCATTTGCATGTCATTAACGCGAATTATTTGTGCCGTTGTTTGGTTATTAAACGTACTAAGTCTTGATATTTCTGAGAGAATATCAAGAGAATCCATTTTGTACATGCTGTCACAAACACAAATGGCAACAGAAATTCTCTCCCTTCCCCTCACTGGCCTTACTACTGGGTTTCACACACTTGTCCACCCTTGAGAAATGTCAAAGGTAACACTGGGGACAAAAACCAGAGTGCTCTACTGGAGGCTCAAAAGTTTGACCTTCATATTATACTAGAGTCATGAGCAGAGAAAGGCCCAGCTGGAAAGGCAGGCCATGAAACAAGGTGCCACTTCCAGAACTCTTCTGTGCAGCTTCTAGATGAATGTTTTGAAAAAAAGACAGGATGGTTAATCCCGCGAGGGCAGTGTGATCTTTTTTTTTTTTTTTTTTTTTGAAAAATGTAAAACTTTTAATAGCAAGATGAGTATATTCAAATGGAAAAAGCAGATTCACTGATACCTAATAAAATTATGAAATATCCTTCCCCATACATTCAGCAGCTGCACTTTTTCTTCTCTATTTTACCTTGCCACCTTTCCCCTGTACATTTCTGTTACTTTCCCCATCTGTTCCTTGGACAGATTCCTTCCTCCCCCCTCAGTAATACAGAATCTTCACCCTAGGGAAACTACAATGACTATCATTAAATTTTTAAAATATGCCCTTTAACCTTCCTAACATCTGGGTAAGACCACTCCTTTCCTCTCATCCCCAGTTAGCTCCCACTCTTCTGGACAGACATGATGTTGTATTCGTCAATTTTCTAGATCTATGTTGGGGTGAGGAGAGTGTAAGTTGCAGCCACCTATGTTGTTTTCTCCAATAATTCTTTCAAAGTGGGTACACAAGAAATAAACTTCCTAAATTCTTCCATATCAAAAAATATCTTTGTTTTACCCTGGAAATCAAATGCCAATTTGGCTGGATACAGGATTCTGGGCGAAAGCCTTTCTGTAGGTGTTTTCTTTTTTCTTTCTAGAAGCCTTTAGGATTTTCTCTATCACTACAATTCAAAAACTTTACCAAGATGTATCTCAGAGTGAGTCTGTTTTTGTCAATCATGCTGGGGATCTGGTGAGCACTCACTATCCCAAGACTAGAATCCCGAAGCTCTGGAAAATTTTCTTCAATTATTTCCTGCAGAATGTCCTCTGCTTCATTCTTTCACTCTCTTTTTCTGAGATTCCTATCAAATGGATGTTGGCACTTTTGAATCTATCCTCCCTCTCCCTTAGCATTAATTTATTATCTGATTGGCCACAATGTGTATGATATCCCTAGAGAATTGTGCCATTTCATCATCTAGATTGCAAAGTCTTTCTTCAAGGATGTCTATTCTACTCCTCAGATCATCTATTGAATTCTTAGTTTCCAAGATATCTGGAAGGCATTTTTTAATTTTTCCAATCTCTTCTCCCATCTCTCTGAGGACACCGATCACAGTTGTTCTATAGTTTGTTTCCGTTTCCTGGATTAGGTCTGCCCCTTTGGATGTTTGTGTTTGAAAAATCTTCTGCATAAAAAACCCTCCTACTTCCTCTTCCTCCTCATTCTCAGAATTCCATACCTTACTGAACACCATAATCTCTTCATCAGCTCCCATCTCTCCCAACACACTTGTTGCAGGAACAAGGCGACAGGTTGAGTCCCGTTTCTCACATTACATTGAGTCATCTTTGCCCTCCTCCTCCTCCTCCCACCACTCCTCCTCCTCCCACCACTCCTCCTCCTCCCACCACTCCTCCTCCTCCTCCTCCCACCACTCCTCCTCCTCCTCCCCCACCACTCCTCCTCCTCCTCCTCCCACCACTCCTCCTCCTCCTCCTCCCACCACTCCTCCTCCTCCTCCTCCCACCACTCCTCCTCCTCCTCCTCCCACCACTCCTCCTCCTCCCCAGAGGTCTCCTCTTCTTCCATCTCCTCTTGTCCCTCCTCTTCCACATCACAGGCCCCTTCTTCCTCTTCTGCCCTCACATAAAAGATGTCTTCCTTGTGGGTCTCTGAGTCTTCTCCTGTCACCTCAAAGGTAGGGATTCCTCTATCCTTCCACTCCGAAAACTCTTCCTCCCGAGTCTCTAAGTTCTTCACTTCTGGCGTAATGACTTTTGCCTCTTTGGTGATTAAGAAATGCAAGCCATCACTTGCTGTTCCTCCAGCTTCATGTTTTGAATTTACTAAAGTGTTACCCCCTTTTAAGGGGATCCCACATCCTCCTTCCAGATTTGGTTCTTCCTTCTGTCAGAGTACAGGGTTCAGTAATTCTCCTATGACAGGTTTTTGGCTGGTAAATTGTCGTAAACTTTGCAGGTCTAAAAATGTCTTCATCTCATCATCACATTTAAATGCTAAATGGACCTCACACTGAAACTCAGGTTCAAAGCCATTTTCTCTCAAAATGTTGAAGATGTCGCCCCACCACTTACTGACTTCCAAGGTGGCTGATGCCAGAGGGTCTGCAGCCAGGGTGAGCACGGCTCCTTCATCCATCAGAGTTTCTTCTTCTCTTGATGCTTTGACGGTCTTCTCTTTGTTACTGAGGATCTGGAGGTTTTCTTCTTCCATTGTTTTTACTGCTCCACCCTCCCTATGCTTTGGCTTCTCTTTGTCGGGCAGTTGTATGTGGTGACTGTCATTTCTACATGTGTCATCGTTCATATCTGAGGCTTCTGCCATCCCTCCAATGGCTTGGTAACTTTGGGGTTCATTCTGGGATAATTCCTTCCCTTGATTGCTAGTGGACATCTTGGCTTTGTCCCATTTACAAATCGGCTTGTCTATTTCCTTGTTTCTAAAAGATAAGTTTTCAGTACACTCAGCAAATTTAGAATTTTTTTCTTCTTGTTCTCTCAACTGTGTTTTTGGTGAAGCTAAATCTTTCGCTTCCTGTCACTCTTCCCTGCTACCACAGTGCTTTGTATCTTTTGTTTCAGATATCTCACTTTTTACTAGCATTTCCTTTAGGTCATTTTTCAGGGTTTCCCTCATCTTGAAAAACATCACGTCCTGCATTTGCAACAAGACCTTAAATTTCTCCACAATAGTTGTTGATATATAATCTTTGTAGTTGAAATCTAACATCCAAGGTATCTCCTCATTAGTTCCTATTATCTGCTTTCTTTTGACACAGGTGGATTGTTCCTGTTCCTTGGCAAATCTAGACATTTTTGACTGTACAGTTGACAGGGTGTCTATATTGTCCAGATCGTATTGTTTTCACTTTTGAAGAGTAATTTTTGTTCTTGCACACCGGCTAGGCTCCAGAAATCTAAAATCCTTAAAAACACTCTCATCCTCTTGCGTGCCTCTGCCAGGAACAGACCAGTTTCACAGAGCACAATGTGGTCTACAAGATGTGTGCAGCAGTCTCTACCTGGGAGGAGATCACTACCTCAGCGCTGTGCAGTGAACAAAGGTCCAGTGTGATCTTTCCAGAGGCAATATGATAGGCAGAATCCTAACATGGCCCCCAGGATGCTGGGCCCTTGGTGTACACACATCTCTTCTCTGCTCTTCAGTGCTAATAAAACACAATCTAGGTACTACTGCGAAGGGATTGTGGAAGCATAAATTAAGGTCACAAATCAGCTGACCTCAAAATAGACCTGTAACAACCCAAACGTTCAAGATGGATGAATGTGGGTAAAAATAAAGTGTGGTATAATATACAATGGAATATTATTCAGTCTTAAAAAGGAAGGAAAGTCTGATGCATACTACACAATGGATGAATCTTAAAACATGCAAAGTGAAACAGGCAAAACCAAAAAAGACAAACATGTTGGGCATTATGGCACATGCCTATAACAACAGCTATTCAGAAGGCTGAGGCAGGACAGTTTTAAATGTTATTCAAGGCCAGCACTTGCAACTCAGCAAGACTCCATTTCAAAATAAATTTTAAAAAGGGCTGAGGATGCAGCTCAGTGGTAGAGGTCTTGCCTAGCATGCATAAGGCCCTGGGTTCAATTCCCAGCACTGCAAAAAAAAATTTTAAAGACAAATATTGTATGAATCCAACTAAAACAGACAAATTCATAGAAACAGAAAACAGACTGGCAGTCACCAGGGGCAAGATGAGGAAACCCAGAATAGGGAGCTATTGTTTAATAAGTACAGACTTTCTATTTGGGCTAATGCAAAGCTCTGAGAAGGAAGGGAAGACTGAGAGACCTAATCTCATCAGGTCTGGAAGTCAGAAATGGGACGGGAAGGGGCCGCTCACTGCTGGCTGCAGAAGTGGGAGTGGTCACACAGCAAGGCCTGAAAGGCCTCTAGGAGCTGACAGCAACCAGCCTCTACATAACAACCAGAGGAAAACAG